AAATGTAAAAAATGTCTTTAACGCAATATGTGAACACCTAACTCAAAATGTAAAAACAATTTTTAACGCAATTTTTAAAAGATTAACGGAATCTGTAAAATACAACTTTATTGTTGTTTATGTCTTGGGGACTAAAATTCATTTTTTAAGAAACTTTACTTTATTGTTTTTCAAAATAACTAAGCTATGTAATTTTTCTGTCAAAATTAACCTCATTTCTAACTTAATTAAAATCTGATCTTTTAAGTCATTTAACATCAAAGTAAAGCCGATACATGTGTAATACAATGGTCATATGAGTTGTATTCATTATGTCCTATTCAAGGATGTTTACCTTTTGGCCTTTTTTTATATCCCACAACGCGCATGTAGCGTCCGTCCGTCAGTCTGTCCATCCAAACAACTGGTTTGCGCTATATCTCAAGAAGTGGTTTATTTATTTTTCATGATTTTGAGTGTGGTAATAATAACCAAGGTTCATCTTGAAATTCTGCAGATATCAGTTTTTTGTATTTATTCTTTTCTTTTTCTTTTCATTGTTTTTGTTGAGAAACCAGTTTTGTTTTCAGGTTTGTCCTATTTAGTGATGAATTAATAGCAAAACATTTTCCTTATGTAAATTAAGGTATTAGTTAATTTTCTTGGTAGACAGACAAATATTTGTTTTTTTAAATCTCACCTCAAAATACACAAGTGAAATGCAACAAATCGCTTCATCAGGTGAAATGATGAAATCAATCAGAAGTAGGCAGAAACGTCACCTGATGAAGAGGCAAGAAGTAGCCCAGAAACATCGTGTTGTAAATATTAAAGAAGTTGTAAATCCATACCATGCGGTGTTATGGTAACAGAACTTGTTGTTCAAGGTTTCAAAAAACTGAATCTATCTAAAATGCCAATGCCAAAAACAATGATACCTGCATAGAATTGCAAAATCACAAACCACGCCTAAGACATTATAATCGTAATTCACCATTTAATCAGTTAGATTCAAACATTAGTGGAACCAGTTATTCTATTGTGTATCTTAATGGAGACATCTCAGTGTAATTAACGTCTTGGATAGCTGAAAATTTTACTGAAAGGGTGTTTAACCGCATTAACTCACTCACTCACGGGCCATATGGTGATCACCTGGTTCTCACGGTGAGGTGAAAAGGGGATTAACGTCGTACATAAGAATATTTCGCTCATATGACGACGTGCATGCTGCTTGTACTAGCCCAGACTTAAGCTGGTTTTATAGTGCTAGCTCACTAAGATACCATGCCGCAGTTAAGCATGAATACCCCACTCAGACACATTAAACTGACTCAGAGCCGACTAGTCCTTGTTGTATGCCGAGCGCCAGGCAGGGACCAACAAGTACCATATTTTAACGTATTTTGACGCGTATGACGCGGTCGGGGATCGAACCCGCGACCTTCCGCTCTCGGGCGGACGCTCTAGCCACTACACCACGGAGGCGGTGGGTTCGCACGGTTGTATCAACAATCTTATGATAGAGGTCAGAATCTTTGATATAAACGGAACAGTGACACAAGTTCTTCCCAAAACATTCGAGTGATATATCTTGGCTACTTACCTGAAAATGAAGGGGTTACTTTCCTGAAAATGAAGGGGAACACTACATGAGTCTAAATCCAACTGATCAGTTTAAGAGTAGAACAGGTACAATGGACGAGAGAGAGGTAGCACAGCTCAGGTCGACAGTGTGGCAAGAAGGTTGTCTGGAGAAATGGGACAGTGAGAGCGAAAGTGGTCCAGAGCAGAGGGACAGAGAGACAGAGAGACAGAAAGTGGTCCAGAGCAGAGGGACAGAGAGACAGAAAGTTGTCCAGAGCAGGGGACAGTAATGTCATTGCGGTTCCATTTCTATTTCTACCAAATCTGGTTACAGGAAAAACACCATCCCTGCTTTCCTCTGTTCGGTGCGTTTGACTTCCGCAACAGAGTTTTTAATGCCTATAGAACAGTAAAGTCTGTAAACCACATCAATTGGCATCAAACGGCCAAAGATATATTGTCCTCTACACAAAATCCCTGACACTGTTAGTGTACGAAGGTTTCCTCTACTGTATGGAAAGGGCAGTGGACTGGCAATTAAAATCCAAAAGTTAGTTAAAGATGAAAACTGGATAAATGCCTGGCTTAAGGTTGAATACTTGGCATTTGGCTGAGAAAGAGAGGGAGGCAAGGAACAGAACAGCCATATTATTTTCCAGATGTCCTTATTCATACCTTGATATCATTAAAACGTCATTTAATAAAAGTACATATTTGAATATTTTCTTTCATATTCTCAGTTGGTTTACATGAAGTCCCACCCGCAAATGACGCCATGGCAGGTCAAGATGCACGCATTTAGGAACCATTCCAGTATTCCCTTAAACCGCCCATCGTTGTTTCATATACATAGTCAGTTCATAACTATTGGCTATATCTCCTAGATCAGTTGCAAGGTCCGAAGTCCAATGGTCAGAGCTACAATCTCGATGCCAAGTATCAATTGCAATTAATTCGAACCCCCATACACAATGAGTTAAAATTGGAAATATTACCACAACATGCATGTTATTTCAAACCGATTAAGAAGGATCAATAAGTGGTTTTCTTTAAAACCCAATCACTGGTTATCAACGACGGAATGGACAGTTTGAAGGAGTCAAACCCAAAAGGTAAAAGTTTCTGGAATAAGACATAATGAATATACCCCAAATGATACCATTCATCTAGACAAAGTTTGAAGAATAAAATTATTCCTTTAAAACTTTCGAACTTTTCGACTATAAGATCGATTAAAATATCTCTATATAAAAATAGATTATATGTTTATCGACTATGCTTCATGTATACTGAACGAGGTAAAATTTTGTAAGAAAAGTAATATGAAGTTTATTTTGTAAGAAACATTGCTAAATCTTAGCAATGGATTCGATTGCCACCCCCTAATATTCAAACCTAAACTGGATTTTACATATTGCGTTATTTTTTTACATATCAAGTTAAAAACTTGTTTTTACATTTTGCGTTAGGCATTGTACTTTTTGCGTTAAAGACATCGTTTACATATTGCGTTAATGTTTTACATATTGCGTTATTTTTACGTTTTGCGTTAATGTTTTACATATTGCGTTAGTTTTTACATATTGTCTTGATTTTACATATTGGGGTTGTACACCTGTATGCTCGTAAATATGGCTAATAACTCATTCCCGGAGTGAATGTCACAACCTCAAGGCCAGGAGCACCATGTTCCCAGTCCTCGGCTTCCGGGGAATCCTCAGTTGCTATTTTCTCATCAGTTAGGTCAAGAATATCTCCATTAGGGGTGTCCCTCAAATGAAATGGTTGTTGCTACTTTAATGTGAACTGTTTTATTGGTTATCTCCCATTTGACAGACACCCATTTGACAGACACCCAATTGACAGACACTGAACTAGAAGGTTAATTAGGGTAACACCTACGGGTATAATGGAACAGTCCACTGTCTAGTGAGTAGAGCAGGGTGAGCCTGAAACAGGTTCGTTACTGAGAAGTTTGATTGTAGGTAAATAGAACTTTGTTGTGTTTAAATGATAAATGCTTTCTCTTCTCAAAATTGTTTTTACTATCAATTACTATCGAATATAAAAACAGGTTTGTCAGTGAGAGGTTTGATTGTGTTTATTGATAGAAAAGCCCCCCTCCCAGTAATAGCATATGTACAACAGAAGTTAACTGAGAAAACGTTTTGTTGGAGAGATATAGATATGTACATATTTGAAAACATTCTGATTTGCAGTAAATGAGACACCTGCATTGCCATGTAAGATACGATTAATACCAATCAGTGTTCTAATTTAAACAATACTTTCTAAAGATTGTAACAGTTTATGTCTTTGAGTAGTATACAATGGCCATTCAAGGACGTAATGAAAAACATTCTCACATCCACGGTCACATTGACATGATGCGTCATATTTTAAATATTTATTCTAAATATGTTTTATTCAATCATGCGTTTAACAAAAAGATTACCATCCGGATATTTTTGTCTGATCAAAGCATAAACAACAAAATGCAATGTGTTCGCCTAGAGCCTTGTTTCGGGTGCACTCCAATAAAGACAAAAAGAAAAATGTCTACAGAGTCATTTGTGTTTTATTTTCTCCACTCGTTCACGTTCGACACTGAAATCTGATGTACTGATCTAAGCGCTTTGCTTGCTCTTGTAGAGCTGTTAGAGCCATCCGTGCTGATCAGAAATTCTACCTGATGTGGGGTTGTCAGGTCATGACGTAGATGATATTAAAGAGTAAATTGTTTAACATAAAACTGAGTACTGTCATTTCCATTAGCAATATCAAATGTTCTCGTCACGATATGGCTGAAATATTGCCGATGTGACGTTAAATATTAACTCACTCACTCACTCACTCATTTCCATTAGACGCTGTGGAGTAGCCTTGTGGTTATAGGGTTTTTCCCTAGTTTCAGTTCCCGACATGTATACTCTATGAAAAGCCTTGTGTTCCCAGTAGTAGCACTGCTGGAATTCTGCTAATAGCGGCGTAAAACCATACTCACTCACCAAACCATAAAACAAACAAACCCAATCATCTAAATCTGGTTGAAATGGAAATAGTGCTAAATACACTAGTATACGATGCACAACTAGTGTACGGTTAAATCTAAATATGTTTGTACATATGCAGTTTAATTAAGGCTTTGAGCTACTCTTAGTCTGCCGCATTGGCAAGAACTCATATGTTGTATGGTAAAGGGGGCGGTGGGGTAGCCTAATGGTTAAAGCGTTGGCTCGTCACGCCGAAGACCTGGGTTCGATTCCCCACATGGGCACAATGTGTGAAGCCCATTTCTGGTGTCCCCCGCCGTGATGTTGCTGGAATATTGCTGAAAGCGGCGTTAAACCAAACTCAGTCAGTCAGTCAGTATGGTAAAAATGAAAATGGGCTTTCTACGAAACAAAGTCTCTAATATTTCATAAACTTCTTCATCTCGCATCACTTAAACCACGTATGTCACTTCCGCATTCACCATTCCGTTGGATTATTTTCTCGCAGAGAAACTTCCAATGTCCAAAAACAGAACAGTTTCTTTGACAGATAATTCACTGCGCTGTCCATCCTCCGTCCACAACGAGGGACGCTCCGGTCATCTGGTCAGCCGCGGGGGAACACAGGAATGCTGCCATTTCACCGATCTGTCAAAATAAAGATTTCAGAAAACTTGGAAAACCCGAAAGTAGAGGACCTGTATCTGTCACAGTTAACATATAAACTAACTAAGTATTTTCCTGTTATTTAATCATGATCACAATTTCCATGACATTTAAAGAAAACGAAAGTCAAATGTGTATTTACAAATTGCTGGGTCTCTAATCTGAGTATAATTGTTTCTTGTGACATTATTAACTTTTGTGAGCCTCTTAACCTGTCACATAAATGCACTGATATTTCAATCAATTTGTAAAATGACTGAAATTTTCTTGTCCTCGAAAATAATTTTTTAAACAATTTTTGAAAACAAATGAAAAATATGCTTACATGCTCCAGCTTGACTGGCTGTTTGGAGGCATGGACGCCGACAATTTGAGCCTGAAACATTAGGGACTAATTTAATATTTATGTTTGTCCAGTTTCGTTCATTGCCGTAGATCACTCCCAGACCCAAACGTCGTATTGATGGTTACGAGCCGCTCTCCAATATTCGGGGAGGCCGGAGACAGAATATACTTTTGTTAACCAATTCCAGAAAAACAATTGCATCAATCAAAAAGGAGGCGCCCAACATATTTTTTAAACGAAACGTTTTTAGTACATCCAGTATGTTCATCGAACATAACACAATGGACGAATATATTAAACATTGGGTCATCGGGGATTTGATTTAGCTGAGACAAGTTTTAATAATGATTTATTACAGTGCTGTAACGTGTTATACCTTTGCTTGTTCTAATGTGATTCCCTGGTCTCGAGATCTATCCTCAGCTTGCTTCATAAACACTGGAAGTAGACAAACGTAGGTATATCTAGTACATCAATGTAATTTACACTTATTCAAAGCCGCACCCGGCTGAAAACTATCGTCGGAAAAAAATATTTTCGCGACACAACTAAAGTCTGTTATATATTGTATTGTTTATGTTTTAGATTTACATCTATATATGTGATGGTTGTTTTTACTGTATTTCGTCCACAGGTTTGTATACTGTGAGTTTATGTGTCATCAGTGTATAACTTGTTTTAGCCACGATATGACTAAAATACTGCTGATGTGACTAAAATCCTAACTCACTCACCCACTCACTCACGTGTTACACCGTCTTCAGAATGCCTGATTCTCAGTACACAAACACGTGGATAAACGATCATTTTGTCACTGGTGAATGTACATTGTCTCTTTTTCGACTTATCAACATATCACTTCTTCTATTCTCAAATGGATTTTTTAACCGCCTCCGTGGTGTAGTGGTTAGAGCGTCCGCCCGGAGAGCGGAAGGTCACGGGTTCGATCCCCGAGCGCGTCATACCAAAAGACGTTAATATATGGTACTTGTTGGTCCCTGCCTGGCGCTCGGCATTAATGGGTACAACAAGGACTGGTCGGCTCGGAGTCAGTAAAATGTGTCTGAGTTGGGTATTCATGCTTAACTGCGGCATGGTATCTCAGTGGGCTAGCGATATAAAACCAGCTTCAGTCTGGGCTAGTACAAGCAGCCGCACATGCACATACACACGCCAGCCGCACATACACATACACACGCATGCACGTCGTCATATGAGCGAAATATTCTTAAGTACGACGTTAAACCCAATTTCACCTCACCTCACCTCAAACGGATTTCACAAAAACTGCAATTACCAACATCCTGATCAATACTTAGTGTCACAAAGCTATTTGTAAACAAATCAAACGATCTAATTTCAGTCAACAGCATCTTTGTTGTATTATTTGCTAAATTAATGCACATGCATAAAACGGATACTGAGTGTAAAAAATTCAAATATTAAACATCTTCACAAATTAGTTTAATTTTAAAAGAGTGTCACATTTTTGGTAAAACCTGAGCCTAGATTTTCGAAACGTTCGTAGCCCAACGAACTTCATAAGCCCATTCTTAACACACTGGCTACGATCAAAGTTTCTACGAATTCTTAGGGCAACGAACGTTTCGAAAATCTAGGCCCCGGACATTAATATTTCATTGGTGGGAGTAATTCCCTCACAAGATCATACACAGATGAAGATTTTCATATTTGTTCTGTTACATTTTCAGCAAGCACAACAACAGTTCGGTCTGTCCGAATTGTCTCGGTTACATGTACAAGTCCAGTATTTAATCATGTTTTTTGTTGCATGGGGTGTGTGATTTTCAGAATCACATTCGGCGGTGTGTTAATCATTGAGTCTGGATAAGATAAGCCAGTGACAGACGCCATGATCTACGAAACTGGGATAAGTTGACTTGCATCACCAAAGTCAGCGAGGTTGACCACAGCGACATTGACCACCCAATCCCGTTAGCCACCTCTTACAACAAGTATGGGTTGCTGAAGACCAATTCTGTCCAGAGGTTAAACAGCAAACAAACTTACACGGTGTTTCAACATAACCAGGACAGATGGCGTTACACGTGACACCGGAACCAGCCGTCTCTATGGCAACCGTCTGCGCAAAGGACAAAGACAAAGGTTATATAACATAGCAGTGACTGAATGAGTAAACTGGAGCAGTGTATGGAATTACTTAGAACCAACAATACACCGTCATTCCACCAACACCAGAGACGTAATAACACACTGTAAAATCTGTACTGAGGTTTGTCATAACATGCGAGAGATGGAGAGGTCGACGTCATTGTGGTGGCGACAGGATATGGTATGGGGACATATAACACAGGACAATTGATGATTATCACACAATCTTCTACAGCACCTTACATCAGACCTATGTAAAGGAGAATGCTGGAAAATTGCAATAACTGACTGGGTTAAAGATAACGCCATTAGAAACATGTACCCCATTTCTTAATGCAAAAGTAGTATTATTATACCCCCGCTACGAAGTAACGGGGGTATATAGCGTTCATTCTGTCCGTTCGTCTGTCCGTCTGTCCGTCCCGAAACTTTGTCAGGAGCATATCTCTTAAAGTTTACATGCTAGGTTCACCAAACTTCACACACATGTTAATCATTACCCATTGATGTGCCTTTTGCTATTTTGTTTTTTTGCTTTTTCCATGGAAACATGACTTGGTGCAAAATGTGTTTGATGGTTACCTGGCCACAGCATATCATCGAAACTATACATGCTAGGTTCACCAAACTTAATACACAAGTTAATCATGACCCACAGATATGCCATGTGCTAAAAAATAACAATCTTCATCTACGTCCACTTCATTGTGTGCAACAAGTTCAGTTGTATGTCAGGTTTCCACGGAAAACACAAAAAGTAATGTTTCCATAAATTATTACTGTAATCAGTACATGGCAAAACAATTATCTAACATGTATATAAAGTTTAGTAGAGTCAAGGAGAAAGTGTTGTGAGCTGCTGATCCTTGTCACATTATATATATCAATATCAGTCATTTCCATGTCCCAAAGTGGGAAGCGGGGGTATGTGAGCTGTGCTCACTTCTACACTTGTTTATATTGTATTTCTTAGCTTCGGTCTTTATGTATATTCCGCTGATGCCAAGCATGAAAGACAAAATTCCCTGTCCGTCTTAAAATGAGAGGCTACACAAGAGGAACTTTAATGAATCTCGAGCCTTAGGATGCTATTGTATATATGTAGGATGAAATGGGTTCTGTCAGGTTAAGAAGATACTCAAACACAATTTTCTGACTCAGAGCTGACCAGTCCTTTTTTTATCCCCTTGATGCCGAGCACTAGACAGGGTCACATCAAAAGTACCATCCATTTCTGGCGGGGCGGTGGTGTAGCCTAGTGGTTAAAGCGTTCGCTCGTCTAGCCGAAGACCCGTGTTCGATTCCCCACATGGGTACGATGTGTGAAGCCCAGTGCTGGGGTCCCCAACCCTGATATTGCTGGACATTCTCAGTAACAGGCTTTGTGTATTAAAAGCATCCTTGTACGTTTCATATTTTACATATGGGAATATCCAAGTTTTAGAAGCATTCGCTATGCGGAGTTACGTCCCTTGGGCATTAGTTTCGAATACTGGTTCGCACTGGTTATGTTTCTGTTTATCTGCACCTTACTCGTCCTCGAGGGTTTCTGCAAGTTGTAAACGAGACCTGAATCGTGCTTTCTTCCAACATTCGAATTACGCGCCTTAACACACATACGCGCACAGTCCCTAGTATGGTGATCTACCTTCAGTTGTTGGCGATGTCTAGCCCATTTTTAAATTGTATTGTCAAAAAATAGTTTTCTACTTTTAAAGTTATATGCTAGCTAGTTTTAACTCATTTTGTGATAATCTAGTGGTTTTACTGTCCTTCGTTGACAGGGTTTTATATATTATCTGTATGTATTATATATTTAGAACTAGTTTTAGTCATGATATGGCTGAAATATTGCCGATGTGACTTTAAATTTTAACTCACTCACTCACTCACACGCGCACACACGCACACACGCGCGCACGCACACACACACCATCCTGGAATACGGCTTACAAAGGGGCGTTCACTCACTGACAAGTTGTATATAGTTACCTTGGTAAGCCCAATGATGCCATGTTTTGCGGAGACGTACGCTGATTTGTTGGCTGAAGCCACGTGACCATGACACGAAGACATGTTAATGATGCGCCCCCATCCTGAAGCAAAGACAATTTACGGATTACACTTTCTCATGACAGTTCATATTATGCCTATAAGCAATACTGTTACTAAATTATCAGGCCATAATCTTGCATGATTTAAAAGTGCATTATAACTTAACAAGTCGGAGAGAGTGATATATTTACAAAATGACCCCATGAAAATCCACTAGCCAGTCGGGCCAGTGACTGTGGAGATTTACTGACCCGAGTGGGTTTTTACTAGTCACGGGCTAGCGGGCTAGTGGCTATTTCGTACACTGCGTGCACCCGGCCGTGTTTTCAGCCTTGATTTAGACTTTGTAAATAGAAAAATTGTGTCAAACAGACATCGACCATGTGTAAATAGGAACAGGAATGATACATTGATCAACCTTGTAAAAATTGAGTTCAGTCACACAACTCGTCTTGTCTCTCTCACACTCCCTGAACCGCATAATGTTCCCTTCCGCCCAGCCCTTTCTGAAGTGGTAAAGCCCGACGTGAAGCAAGTCTAGATTCCTCAGGCTCAATAATCCCAGTCTCACTGGGGCTCCTTTTCAATTAAAAGGAATTAATTGTTTCTATAAAAATTACAATGGACTCTGTATAATCCGACACTCACTGGGACCGGGAAAAAATGTCGGAGTGTCAGAGGACTAAATGTCTAAATGATGATAATATAGAAGAACGCTGCCGGGACCCCAAAAATATGTCGGAATTCACAGATTGTCGGATAATTCAGATGTCGGATTATACAGAGTCCACTGTATATATTTTCAGAGACTAAGGGTTAGTTTAGTCTCCCTAATACCATGTCCTTTAATTAGTAGTTTAACCTTTCTGCGTACTGACCTTTGACCTTCATGTGCGGCAGGAATAGCTGAGTCAGGTGGAACGGTGCCGTCAGCATCACCGCAATCATGGAATCCCATTTCTCTGTCGGGAAACTCTCAACAGGGCACACATGTTGGAACCCTGAAAGGAGAATGTAATAAACGTTATCAGCTGTGAAGCTGTCGAGAGTTGCAATGTCCTGATTGACTTTATGATCTTTTTGTCTTTCGGGGTTTATGGAGGAAGATGGTTTGGGGGTCCTTTTTCGCGTTTTCTTTTCAGTAATATTATATATTCTACTACTTGATTAAACGATACTCGAGTGAAACGGAACTGTATGTATAGCCACCAGTGCCTCCTTTCACAAAACACTAAGGTGATCGTAAGTCACTAAGGTAACCTTAGCGCAATGTTAAAGAATGGGAGTTAAGGTTAACCTTAGTAAAGGTTGCTTCGTGAAAGGAGCCCTTGGACACTCAAATCAGGGTTTTCTTATGTACAAAAGAACACAGAGCCAGGTGTGTTTCCAAGTGACTTTCGATATCAAATCATTAATAAGTCATCTAGTTGACTAGTAATCATCGTACAATAAAACCAAATTGTTGAATAGTTCAAGAGTAAATACCATCTGTGTACATATGAAAAATTGTGAATCGATTCTTATCGAAACACATGACCTAGCCAAGACCTCACGTGATTATACAATCCCGTGATAGCGTATAAATACCAGAAACGGAAGCACTCGAATTTTGGCTACTAGAATTAGGGATGTCTCCCTTGTTTCAAGACAAAAACATTATTGCAATATTTTCTATGTTTTTCCAGAGTAACTTCAATCGGCATCCTGATATTGGCAATAGAACAGTTATAAGCCAGCACGGGTTTACTGCATTGCACAAGATATTTTAGTCTGTAGTATTATTCAAATACCTGCGTTGTATACCAGACTGTCCATGCACTCCTCTCGGGTAACGTTTAAGGACATCGTAGTTCATATACCTGCATTATTTACCAGAATATCCAGTCCTTTCGGGTAGAGTTTAAGGACATCGTTGTGTAGTTTCTGTATCTCGCTCAGATTCGCGAGATCCTCGCCTGAAAAGTGTGTATCCACACCGTGTTGCCTGTAACAAACAAACAAGTCTTGTATGTTGCATTCAGTAATAATCCACCTATGTGACGTCTAGCTCTGTGATTAATGGATTACCCAGACACGATGTTTTCCAGATAATATCAGACGATGAGAGTATCAGTACGAATGCCTAATGCTGCCACATTTCTGGCATAAATTACTTTTCGTTCTGCTAAATGTCTCGTTGTTTCAATTATTCTCTCATTGCTTCGGCTATTTTCTCGTTGCTTCGAGTTTTTGCATGAAAGTTCAACGGAAAAAAAATTAATGCTGCAAAAGAGATGGTTTACAAGAAAAAGATGAGAAGACAAGAAATGCATGGTTTTTCGCTGGTGAATGTAATTGACAAAGTCCTACTTAGTAAAGTCCTCCTTGAGTTGCTCGAACACCTTTGCATCCCCGAGTCCATTCACAACGATGCTGCAGCCCCGCTTAGCCAGGCTGTGCGCGATTCCAAGACCAATGCCACTTGTTGCACCCGTTACCAAGGCAACGAGACCTTTCAAGGAACCTGGAAATGAAAAACATAATATTGGACCATAGTTGAAACTGTGTTTAATAATTGAGGTTTCAGCTATTCGGCGTGACAATAGACCGGGAATTCAGTTTGCCACTGACAGTAAACAAAAGAACTTTGGTTTCTGGGGGAATTTCTCATCTAAGGGCGATAACTCTATTCACATTATCAAAATTTTACTCCTCGGAAAAATGCTAACAATAAAAAAAATATAAATTTTCTAAAAATCAGTTAATGTTGTCGTCATCGAGAGAATCTGGGACAGGCCATTCCGATCATATGTTCGCCTACTCGGAGCCACTCGACTTATTCTGTGAACATCTTGGGCAACAGAGGAGTAGTGATGTAAACAAGCTGCACGCTGCACGCTGCACACTCACTAACCGTAGTTCGTGGAACACGACGACCGATTTATACAGAAATTTTGATTATAAAGGGTGAATGAATATTTTGGGGTGAAGTCAGTTTGCTTTATGCCCCTTTAGCAAGGGACAGAAATGAGGTTCGAACACTGCACCTATGTGGGGATTGGAACCCTGACTGTCGGGTCGACGAGGCAACACTGTACCCACAAGGCTACCTTATCGGATAAGGGTGGGGGAGAATAAAGATGTTCTTGTGTTCATTACTACCATAAAATAGATTCGAGGTTTTCGCTTGAAGTGAGTTTAGTTTCCGCTTTGAACAGTATTCCAGTTATATCACCACGTATTTGCCGTGTTACGCCAGGCCATAGTCTGTACTTCCATAGCTACCTGAATAGTAAACTCAAGTGTGTCTAGTTTCGAAAAGATTCCTTCTGAGCGAGATGTCCCATATCGAATTTAGTACGTGACTAAGTGCAGTCTGTGAAATAAGCCAAAATCCCAGCCTGACATCTGGGCTTGTAACTTCAAAAACTTACCAGCCCAGAAGAGATTTAACCAGTCCTTCTTAAATCCTAAATAGACAGTGCCAGTGGACACGTTATCTGAATATTTTTCACCCGTCCATCGGGCTGGCTAGCTGTAAAATTAGACCGTCCGGCAGAAATCAAACCCGCCTCAGGCGGTCGGACAGGCCTTATTTCATACACAGCTAAGTGTAATGTTCTTTTTAAGTCACGGCGATATTTCAGCCGTATTGTGACCGAAATATGTATATTACTTTTTGAAACCCTCCAACCAAAGGGCACTAATTATAACACATGGTGTGACATCGCAGATACGTATTAAAAGCTTAACTTTAATTAATGATTTGTTTGTTTGGTATTTAACGCCGCATTCTTTATGACGGCAGTCTGTAAATTATCGAATCTGGACCAGACGATTCAGTGATCAACAGCATGAGCATCGATCTACGATGACATGAGACAACCAAGTCAGCGAACCCGACCACGACACAAATTTTTAACTCAACGATACATCGCCAACAACCAAAAGTAAACCGTATTCTGGGTCACGGTGTCTTCATAGTCTCTCGGGGCGGTGGGGTAGCCAAATGGTTAAAGCGTTGGCTCGTCACGCCGAAGACCCCGGGTTCGAATCCCCACATGGGTACATTGTCTGAAGCCCATTTCTGGTGTCCCCCGCCGTGATGTTGCTGGAATATTGCTAAAAGCGGCGTAAAACCAAACTCAGTCAGTCAGTCATAGTCTGCGCTCTGCTACCTGTCAGTCAGTCATAGTCTCTCTGCTACCTGCATGGTACCTCAGCAGGATTTACACCACCTCTCTAGCACCTGTGTTTGTATACCAACTGTAGACGGTTATTGTGAGCTGAGTGACGACAAACACATCTCAGTATCGGTATTGTATTGTATTATTCTGTATAATAAACCAGATCTTACATTACCTTCATTGTCAGAGGCCATCTTGACAACTCACTTGTACAGCCGGGTGTAAGTGTTATAAATAGAGTCAGTCATGATTTATTGTTAGTGGTGAAAGTATGGTATGTGATTGGAGGTCATGTTGACGTGGTCAACATGCGATATGGACAAAGTCCTTTCTGGGGTGATCACACCAACTGGTCACTTGAGGGTTATTACGAGATAAGTGAGTGAGTTTGGTTTTACGCCGCTTTTAGCAATATTCCAGCAATACCACGACGGGGGACACCGGAAATGGGCTTCACATATTGTACCCATGTGGAGAATCGAACCCGTGTCTTCGGCGTGATGAGCGAACGCTTTAACCACTTGGCTACCCCACCGCCTAAATGTCAAAATATTTACTGTAAATCCCAGTGTTTGAAACCGGATACTAAGTAATAGATCCAGAAAACAGATGTGTATCAGGTCGTCATGACCGACTGACTGACTGAGTTTGGTTTTACGCCGCTTTTAGCAATATTCCAGCTACATCACGGCGGGGGAACACCAGAAATGGACTTCACACATTGTACCCATGTGGGGATTCGAACCCGGGGTCTTCGGCGTGACGAGCCAACGCTTTAACCACTAGGCTACCCCACCGCCCCAGGTCGGCATGTGGTATCGGGCGTGGTATTAAGTATCCGGTACTCGTCTCAGTTTAACAATGGATTACCCGAGACGATCGGGTTTGGATTGATCTTCGGCAACCCATGCTTGTCGTAAGAGGAGACTAACGGGATCGGGTGCCACCGTGGTAAGGCTAGCTGACTTTGCTGACACATGTCATCGTATCCCACTTGAAGCCCATGCTGTGGAGCACTGGATTGTCAGGAATAGCTGGAATATTGCTTAAACAACAGACCAACAAAACCTACAATGGAACCTGGGAAGCTGCACGATGTTGTATATTGATGTAGATGAAGTGTTTCGACATTCGCCACTTACCCGACATGCTGCAGTCTATATACCTTGAAACACGGGCTATATATATCTACACATCGGTGCGACTTCGACCCATCACAGAACGCCGGTGTTGATGGTGATGGAACTGCGATCCACCAAACCGGAGAGTCTTGAAACTATCCACGGTCCCAGGAATGTTTAGACCCAGAAAAGTAGGTCGTGTGGAGAAAAACTGGCCTCAGCTTGTAATGCAAGTAACGAATATGCGTTTGACCCCGTCGGTGATAAGCTAATGTTGGTGGGGTCAAGAGTGTACACTTAGACTTGCGTAGGCTCTGTAGCATTAGTGAGACTTGGGTTTTCAGCTGTGGGAGTCTATTTTCGCGTGAGAATTCGGTAGCACTCGATTGTTTCCGTGAGTGCTCGGACAAGAATACAAGTATGCATTGCTTTGAACATTGTTAATGCAATATCACGGCAAGGGACGCCTGTAATGGATTCCACATATTGGTATGTTTGTTTGTTTGTTGTTTAACGCCGCACTCAGCAATATTCCAGCCATATGATGGGGGTCTCTAAGTAGTCGTGTTTGGACCAGACAATTAAGTGATTGCCATTATGAGCATCGATCTACGCAATTGGGATACAATGACATCCATCGACCAAGTCAACGAGCCTGACCACCCGATCCCGTTATAAAGTCGCCTCTTACGACAAGCATGGGTTACTGAAGGTCAATTCTAACCTGGATCTTCTCCAGGTTTGTCACACCGTGTCGGTTTAATGTGGGAGAAAACCTTCCACCTTTCCCGTTCCTGACAGACGCTATATCCACAACAGTGAGTTTAGTTTTACGCCGCTTTTAGCAATATTTCAGCAATAACACGGCGGGGGACACCAGAAATGGGCATCAGACATTGTACCCATGTGGGGAATCGAACCTGGATCTTCGGCGTGACGAATATCCACAACTGGGTTTTGTGCCGATTCTTGTATTATAATGTCCACAGTAACCTTACTCATTGTTTAGGTACATGCATCAACACAATATTTCTTCTCTGACCAGGTTGTTTAACGAATTCAGTACTATTCCAGCTAAATGACCGCGGGCTGCAATTATGGGACTCTGGACCAGACATCCAGTCAGAACTACGGATAGCTTTTTCGGTCATTGAGTTTTGTACTGGCTTGTTTTCCTATCAACTGGGTATCCTAATTTTCCTTTGAGTAACCAAATAAATTGTTCCCACCTCTCTCAAACTAAATTGGGTATTTTGCCATTTTCTATTAATTGTAAAAATATAATGAAGTTAAAATGTTGGTTTACGTCTTTGTTAATTATATTTGAATTGTAGTATGAGCCACGATCAGAAAGACTACAAGTTGCAAAGTTCATGAGCTGAAATAGAACCTGTCAATATAGCTCAGTTATTTTATCTGTTTTGCGTATGGAAGTAAGATCAAAATTGTTGATCTACGCAATTGGGAACCGATGACATGTGTCAACCAAGTCAGCAAGCATGACCACCCGATCCTGTTAGTCGCCTCTTACGACAAGCATGGGTTACTGAAGATCCATATTCTAACCCAGACCTTCAAGGGTACCAACCAAGTCACCGATACTGACCACCAATCCACTTGTTAATACATTGTCATTTAGAATGTGGTCAAATGTACCTAATAAAAGTAACAGTATCGGTACTTTACCGAGAAAGTGTCAACGAAATATATAACATGGTCTGTTTGACCACTTTCTAAATGGTATTATGTATTCATAGCGGGCCGTGCTAACGTCTCAGAGGGGTACACAAAGCACGTCATCTAGACTACCAATTGTCCTAACTTCCGTTTTTCTTGTGGAAATCCCGGTGCCCGAGTGGGTTAGATGGCTCACTGTGCAAGCGATAAGGTGCCTGTATCCGAGTGTGGGTTCGACTCCCGGATTGGGCTCATCCTAATAAAAGTGCTAAACTCGGTGCATTACTGAGTAATTGTAATCCAAAAATGTAACATCTGTTACTCCAACCATTTAGTCACCGTTACAACCAGCACAGAATACTAGGGACTTGTCCTTACCCCAAATCCAGACGCATCCTTTTCAACAGATAAGAGGTGAGGTGAAAGGGGGTTTAACGTCGTACTTGAGAATATTTCGCTCATAGGACGACATGCATGCGTGTGTATGTGTGGCTGCTTGTACTAGCCCAGACTTAAGCTGGTTTTATAGTGCTAGCTCATTGTGATACCATGCCGCAGTTAAGCATGAATACCAAACTCAGACACATTTTACTGACTCGGAGCCGACCAGTCCTTGTACCCATTAACGCAGAGCGCCAGCAAGGGACCAACAAGTTCATTATTTTAACGTCTTTTAGTATGACGCGGCCAGGGATCGAACCCGCGACCTTCCACTCTCGGGGCGGACGCTCTAACTACTACACCACGGAGGTGGTGCCAACAGACGAGAAGAACAACTTGATATTGACGCTTTATTGTAACTAAGTTACCATACTCTAAACAACAAGTAATATTGACGTGGGAAGAGCGTGAGAGGTGGAGATAGATAAAACAAACAATGAAACAAACAACAAAAGCCCCACAGTGAAATGTATGTCAACTGTTGACAGTGGTGAAATACACAACAGTATTATGACTTGATTGGCAGATATAGGCAATATGTGTGAAGTCCGCGTATCACAGGAAAGGATGGTAGTATGTACATATCGGCACCATCTTGTCAGTTTCAGCAAAGAGTAGTCTGTTTCATGCTAGTACCAGTCTATATATATCTAGCACCAACTGGTAGAGCTTGTATATTTCTTATGTCGACTTGTCAACTTCATTGGGGAAACAAACACATAAATCCAATCCAAATAATTTTCTTAAATAAACTTTTCACAATTTTACCTATTATTAGCTATTTTAAACTACAATTTGGTGACACTTGTATGGGTGCAACTGTTTGCGAAATGTTCAAATTTGGTCCAAAAATGTCTAATGTACATGGCCCATTCATTCAGTGGCATCTGCTCAGACAAAACTACCCCTCCTGTCATCATTTGTATATAGTTGGTTAAAGCTTTTAAAAAAAAACTTGATTAAAAAAGACCAGTAACCTTGAACATTTGCTGTACTGAAACAGCATTGGGTCATATTCATGGAGTTCTACTTATCAAACAGGAACATCTCACACAAAGTTGTTTCAGCATCATGATTACTTGAACCACCCCCATGCCAACATGGTTTGGCAATGCCCAATGTCTACAACATGCAGGTCTTTGAGAAACTTTCATTATTCTGCAGTAACTGCTCTCTATCTGTTCCACAATGTGATCTCTGATGGTTGATAATCTCAAGTTCTGTGCTCGGACACTGACCCATGACAGTCCTAGAACTAAACTCACTTTGCATCAATCGCAACTTCCCCACTCCACCACTGCTATGTAAGTTAATGCAATTTACAATAAAGCAATTTTAGCACTACGATTGTCTTAAGCCAGTGCTTTGTTATGGAACCTACAAATCTTGTAGCTGTAAATGAAACCCTATCGTTTAAATGTTACAACACCTTACTTACTGACTTGGTAATAGATTTCAACGTGATCAAAGATCAGTGTAGTTTAATATAGAACAAACTTTATGGATAACAACTTCTTTTTATTCGTGAGTGCGACGTTTCGATACAGATTCTTGAACCGTTGTCAGCTTGACAACGGTACAAGAATCTGTATCGAAAAGTCGCACTCACGAATAAAAAGAAGTTGTTATCCATAAAGTTTGTTCTATATTGTACTTCCCAACTTCTAAAATGCCACTCAAAGAAGTTATCAGTGTAGTTTGTTCTGATTTAACAGGACTGTAATCTAATCTATTGGTACTGCATTGAAGTGACCAATGGGAAATCTCACCTTGCACTTGTACATGAGCTAAGTTCAACCATGCTGACAGGAGGCCAAGTTTCATAGGTATATATACTGGTCGATAATAGCCAAAATAATAATAATAAAAAAAAATTTAAAAAGACTTTTTGGTGAATTGTATACAGGTGAAAGTATATGCAATGATTATTCCTGCCTTGTAAATACCTTAATTTTGTATTTGTGATTATTTTATGTAAAAATGGGTTTTTGACAAGTTAACAATGGTATCGATAGTTGACAATCTTGAACTTCAAGAATCATAATTAAATTTTGGGAACTTTTATGATGTCAGAAGTTTGATGGGTACATTATATACACTAATGGGCAATCTACAGAAAAGGAATATAGGACCTGCTATATAATGATCATTTGTTACAGTAATGGAAACATGGATAAAATACATTTTATCATGTCAATTATGAAAACACCTCCCTGCCTTTCCTTTTGTGATAATTATGCATTATGAAAACATCAACAACACATGAAAACACATGAAAACTCTCCATAAATAAGTTGTTCTGATGCCAATCTCCTTCTTCCACATCCCATGTCAAACAAATCCAGATTTCATGGAAACCAACAAGTACTTGCAAACACTTCATTAATATACATGACAGTTTTAGTTTGAAAACACTAATTTAACATTGAGTGAGTGAGTTTAGTTTTATGTTGCTTTTAGCAATATAATGGCGGGGAATACCAGAAATGGGCTTCGCACATTGTACCCATGTGGGGACTTGAACCCGGGTCTTTACAAGCGAATATTTTAACCATCGGGCTACCCCACCGCCCCCTTAACACTTCTAAATATACTCTTGGCAATGAAAAAACCACTATACATTCTTAGCCTGCCCAACCTCATGTCTGCATAAATGTTAGTCATTTAGTTCCCTGTCATGGACAACATGAAAGGTTTTTAGACAGATCCTTACATCTGTTTCGAATGTAACAAAGTGTTTAATGAATCAACAGACTCGTGAATGGTTTAGGTTTGTTTTTGATAAGCAAGTTCGTGACACAATAGCCTAAACTGTTTCAAGCCAATTAGAGTGAGTGAGTTGGTTTATTAGTACACCGCTTTCAGCAGTTTCCCTGCAATATCATGACAGGGGACACCAGAAATGGGTTTCACACATGTGGGGAATCAAACCCGGGTTTTTGGCATGACGAGCAAACATTAAACCACTAGGCTACCCCACCGCCCTAAGCCTATTAGAACAAAACCTAAACATGACTTTACTTTTACAGGGCAGTGGGGTAGCCTTGTGGTTAAAGCGTTCGTCATGCTGAAGACCTGTGTTCGATTCCCCACATGGGTACAATGTGTAAAGACCCGTGAAGATCCGGGGTAGAATAGGTCTTCAGTAACCCATTCTTGTCATAAAAGGCAACTATGCTTGTCGTAAAAGGCGACTAACGGATCGGGTGGTCAGGCTCGCCGACTTGGTTGAAACATGTCATCGGTTCCCAATTGCGCAGATCGATGCTCATGCTGTTGATCACTGGATTGTCTGGTCAAGACTCGATTATTTACAGACCGCCGCCATATAGCTGGAATATTGCTGAGTGCGGCGTAAAACTAAACTCACTCACTACAATGTGTAAACCCCATTTCTGGTGTCCCCTGCCATGATATTACTGGAGTATTGCCTCAAATGGCGTAAAACAAAACTTACTCACTCTACAGTTTTACAATAAAAGTAAATGATGGTTTCAAAATATGTAATTTGTTCAAAGTTTTCCTCAGCTGGGGAGTCAATGTAATTAGTGCTTGAGAGCAGCATTATTTTAAATATAGTTTTGCGAATGTAGATATAAATAGAACACTTTCTACAAACAAAACATAGCACAAAATGATGTAAATATATCTCCAAGAAATGATGGGTATGGATGTGTATTTATGCAATAGATTCATTGAATCAAATGTCATGATTCAGTCCACGTACTTCAGCAAAATTACAAAGTAAAATCTTTTCACATGTAGTGCAAAGTAGATAGCAAACTATTTCATTTAAGGCGGTAACGAAATGAAATTCCCTGCACGTTCATCAGCTAAAGAAACAATATTTGTGACTATTCCATCAGCTAATGAGATCATCAAAAGATTAAATGAGTTAATTGTTGAAGGTATCTACACGTGAACCACCTAACAACTATAGATCTGGTTCAGTCGGTACCCTGTGAGGACTTTCTTCTATGTCATCAATATTTGGCACAATCTAGCACAAGGACAAACAAGTTGTCTCCCCTTTGAACTTCTGAAATCCCGTTTAGTTTGTCAGTGTCAGTTATCACAAAAATACCCATGTCAATTGACAATAAAGATCTGGGCCTAGATTTTTTAAGCTCTCTTAGCACTAAGACAGTCGTAAGTGCCATACATTAACATTAACTTAAGACTATCGTAACGCTAAGAGAGCTTCGAAAATCTAGGCCCAGAACTAGGAGAAAAAATCCATTTTCAGGAGAAATCCTTCTTAACACCAGCATCTAATCCACATTTCAGGAAATAAATATAGACCACTTTTGTTTACTCTATCCACTTTTGTTAAAGAATAAATTCAATATTTGTCCAAAGACATGCTCATTGTTTTATGGAGTACAAGAGTCATATACTTGATTTATTCTCTCTGTATTGATATCGGTTTGTATCTATAGCCTCTTCTTTTCAGATCAATACTTGTGAGTAAATAATTGTGGGGCAATTGTCATTCCCCACCAATTAGGCAATGTAAATTTGATTCCGCTCCTTCATTGCTTTTCTATTTCAAATACACTACAGTTACATTGAGTTTAGTTTTACACCACTGAGTTTGGTTTTATGCAGCTTTTAGCGATATTCCAGAAATATTACAGCAGAGGACACCAGAAATGGGCTTCACACATTGTACCCAAGTGGAAATGAGAACCCTGGTCTTCTAGGTGAGTGAGTGAGTTTGGTTTTACGCTTTTAGCCATACAGCTTTAACCACTATGAGGCTACCCATGTGGGGATTCAACCTCTACTTCTAAGAACCTTCTATGTTACCTATCAAGAATCCAAAGGTGAACTTGTTTCTATTGCACTTTTAATTTAAACAAGTTTGAATATATTTGAACATTGCCTGATTTGTTTAAGAGTGAAAGAGACTGACCACTGCTGAATGCTGCATCAGCAACTTTGCAGCTCTTGACAGCAATTGCTGAAGGGAAAATTCATACAGAAACCTAATTTGTGTAAATGTCGAATGAACATGTATGACTTAATGATAGACAAGTTAGTAGTGACAATTTTTTAGTTACCTGTCAGGAGTCATTAGCTATATACAAATAGGCAAAAGGCCAAGGGGGATTGATGTCTATACACAGGAACATCATACAAAGTGTTTAGATAAATATATTTTCTTTTCACTACAAATCATATTAGTGCTATTAACAGCATAAGAATGTACAAGGTAAGTAATTAAACCACGATATCACCAAAATGACCGAGTGTGAATCAGATCGTATTTACAAGAAGATATCTTACAACAATAGGTACACAACAAATACAATTTCAAGAAACAGATAACAGGGTTTCATAGAAAAGAACCTACAACAAACATTTACACTGATTCAGTAATACCGATCTATGTCTTGTACAAGCGTTCATCGCAACTTAACTACGAATACTGAGCAAAGAGGATTAAACATTTTAAAATGTTCAACAAACTCCAGTTAACAATTGATAAAACATTTCTTTGAATAAGTTGAGTTGGTAGGGACATGAATCTTCCTGATTTATTCTCAATAAAACAGTATGTTATCTAGCCATGGACAGACATTTTCACGTGTCTGTTCTAGACTACAGTTCTCACCAGAGAAATTGTGTTACAAAATATTGCGATTATTAATTAACGATAGCTGAATATGTGAAAAGATAGAGCTGGTTATCGGTCACAAAATGCAACATCGATAATCATCGGAGCTCTGTAATTGACCACAAACCTCACGTTGGCAATAACGGAACATAATCATATTTTTGCGCAAAACAATCCAGGCTCGATTAATGCTACGATCAAGGACACTTCCTGTTGAGACACACACACGAGTGTGTTGTTTACATTACAGTTTAACAACCCATGAAACTGCATCAGTTGTTAATGTCCTGATTTCACAAACATCACAATAAGAAACATACTTTCTGAAGTTTAATTTGATATTTCATTTCTTATGAAAGTTGATTAGTCTCCAATGCTCATTAATAATCAATGACAAAGGTTGGATCAATTGATTGACTGATTCACCACTATGAAAAGACTTATTACATTAAAACTTGCCAATAAGGCAAAAAAGGACAACTACTTTCATAAATGACAAAACTGCAATGAGCACTTTTCAAGAAATATGAATTTCATTGGTGATAATACATCATCATAGTGTTTCAATCACATGGTTACAAGAAGGTGTCTGGGAGTGGTAATATTGAGCAGAGACTTCATTATACATCAGTAGAGCCTTAAATACATCAGCATGTTTTTCTTCTTTCAGTTTGATTTGGTAATAATGTTTGTTAAGAAAGCATGCAGCTTTGTGTACTGATTAATAATGGCAATATTTTGTGACTGTTTCAAGCAGCAAGGACTGCCTTCGTGAAAATCAAGAGAAATGGTGTTTTCCCCAGAATCTAGTTATTTTACATTAGCAACTAGTTTGCAAGATGAGACAGACAAAAAGGATAGGACCAACTTGTCTACCCTTGTTGGCAGTAAATTATGATGTAAATGTTCAAATGTTAGTGAACAATGTGGTGATCCAAAACTTGGTCCTCGTTTTCTTTGGTAAATACTGTTAAAAACTTACTTCCAACCTGTCAATAGTGTGTTATTATCAAATATACCTGTGCATGTGAAATTATAACTGCAATACATTTAATTTACCTTGATGAATAATACAACCCTACACTACACCCTAATTCAGAGAAGTGATACGTCGAGGAAATATGGCATGCTGTCCACTTCATTCACTGACTGAATTCATAAACATTGAACTGGGATAACTTGTTTAAATTTAAATGTATAATATTTAAATCATTCAATATTATCTCCATGTGCTTATAATCTCAATTCATTGTATAGAAACAAGACTGAACATGTATCGTGACACTATTCAATTAGAAACAACAAACCCATTGATTTTTTATAAGAAACAAACACTTACACGTTCATGTAAGTCAGTTGGAAACACAACAAGTGTTAAAAATGAAAATATCTTAAAAAGACAGACAGACAAATATACCAATGAAAATGTATAATTTGATAATTTCAACAGTAACCAGAAACAGGTTGTACAGAAATATGGCACACAAGAATATTTGTTCGAATTTGTACAACGAAAGTCGGACTACCGTAAAATTCTCCTCACAAAGTCTTCAAGACTTGGTAAAGCATACAAAGCAAGGTACAATTGCACATGTTAACACTATTGCAAAAATATAGGATAGAATGATTCAAGTTAATTCTGTGGTAGATGATTACTTCAAGACGAAGGTCGGGTCATCTAAATTGTCGACTTCTGGGGATGGTGAGTTTGTGTCGTCAAACCCACCCGTGACGTTGAAGGGGGAGAGATCGGGCCCGGCTGAGTCGTTATCAGCAGTTGACAGGAACTCCATATCGTCACCAGCTGATGGGGATATCTGGAGGATAACAGAATATCAGAGTGAGTGAGTGAGTGAGTGAGTGGGTTTAACACTTATATGACATATCAACTTAATGTGGGAGGTTGGTTGGTGTTTAACGTTGCATTCCGCAATATTCCAGCTATATGGCAGCAGATTGTAAATAATCGAGTACGGACCAGACAATCAAGTGATCAACATTATGAGCATCAATCTACGCAATTGTGACATGATGACAGGTGTCTACCAAGTCAGCGAGCCTCACCACCCGATCCTGTTAGATGCCTCTTACAACAAGCACGGGTTGCTGAAGACCAATTCTAACCTAGTTCTTGGATTTGTATCTCAGTCATGAAAATACAACTGATAAAGTGTCAACAATTTCCAGTCAGGATCTTCATAAATGTATTATGTCTCATGTCACACACCGTACATCAACCTCTTCTATTGTGTAAACACAATACCCGCCATGTGTATATTTCTCCTTGTGCAAATGTTGAGTATCATTTGCTTGGTAACGGTGTTAGGATCTACACCAAAATGTCGCAACTACTGCAACAAAGAAGTTGTCTATCCATAAAAGGTGTTCCACTTCATCATACCAGCTTCTAAATGCCACTTAAGGAAGTTAAATATCAGTATTTGAAACCGCATACCCAGTAAGCAATCTGACGAATGGGAGGTTAGCAGACTCAATAATCTACAGACCACAAGGCAACAGCTGGGGAATTATTAAGTCCAGCATATTTTTGTTTACAGAACCGGAAGGTTCTTGCTAAGCAGTCTGACCAGGTTGAAACACTCAATAACTTACAGACCAGCATGATAAAGCTGTATTATCACTGGCTGTAGTGTAAAACAACACTGGCTCTGTCTACCTGATGTATTACCTGAATATCCGACTTCGACATGGGATATGTAGAGGTGTTATCACTGAAGTTTGAGAAAGGAAGCGACTTGGGAGGTTCCTCCTCGATTTCCTGCAAAGACGGAAATTAAGATTTTAACAAACGGTGCTAAACTAGTGTTAAACCTTTATTGGCCTTCAAAACATGACTGTATTTGAACAGTTAACAAAGAGTATCTGATTCTTCAAACTATTTTCATCGGAGAGACTTTATCCTGTGGACCAGTTTTTACTTGGAAAATTACATTGAAACACATATTTGTTTCAGAATGAATACTTTTGACCATATCTTTCAGTGAATTATAACTTAAATGTAACCTGCATGCAATAAGGCCCTTTGACCTACCCTGAATGCTGTCAGGTCTGAAAGATCTAGTCACCATGACCTACCCTGCATGCAATAAGGCCCTTTGACCTACCCTGAATGCTGTCAGGTCTGAATGACCTGGTCACCATGACCTACCCTGCATGCAATAAGGCCCTTTGACCTACCCTGAATGCTGTCAGGTCTGAAGACCTGGTCACCATGACCTACCCTGCATGCAATAAGGCCCTTTGACCTACCCTGAATGCAGTCATGTCTGAAAGACCTAGTCACCATGACCTACCCTGCATGCAATAAGGCCCTTTGACCTACCCTGAATGCAGTCATGTCTGAAAGATCTAGTCACCATGACCTACCCTGCATGCAATAAGGCCCTTTGACCTACCCTGAATGCAGTCATGTCTGAAAGATCTAGTCACCATGACCTACCCTGCATGCAATAAGGCCCTTTGACCTACCCTGAATGCTGTCAGGTCTGAAAGACCTAGTCACCATGACCTACCCTGTAAGCACTCATGTCGGTTGGCGTTCCTGAGCGACTGCGGTGGAACTTGGACCGACTGACGTCTGTCCTCATGGCATTCATCTGAATCTTCATCTTGGCGAGAATCCAGTCCGGCACAGTGAACCCATACAGTTCATCCATCAACAGATTGGGGCTGTCCCTGTACAGAAACATTACACAGCATCAGGAAAAAACTTCTAGCCCAGATGACTATTTCACTAGTCCTTAAAATGTGTAGCTAGTTATGAAAATGTTTAATTTTCATGTCAGTTCTGATTCAGTTACCTCTGCAGAAACACCAAAGCCTTGAGAACTGGTTCAGTTTGTTTGGTTGTTGTTTATGCCAGACTCGGCAATATTCCAGCTATAAGGTGGCAGTCTGGAAATAATTGAGTCTGGGCCAGACAATCCAGTGATCAACAGCATGAGCATCGATCAGCGCAACTGGGAACCGATGACATGTGGCAACCAAGTCAGCAAGCCTGACCACCCAATCCCGTTAGTCGCCTTGTAAACAATCCCATTATCCCATTTCAATTTTCATTCCGAAATTTTGAATGTTGTGTGAATGTTAAAGCTGAGTTTAAATGTACAACCATGAGAAACTATTTTACAGCTGAGTACATGTCCACATGAGACAGATATCTAACACTGTGTGCATACACTGTTGTGAAATGTAGAATATTGTGGTCATGAACAAGTGAGTGAGATGTCTGATTATTTATGTGTCCAGAGTGAGTGGGTGTGGTTTGACGCTGCTTTTAGCAATATTCTAGCAATATTACAGCAATGGACAACAGAAATTGGATTCACACATTGCACCCATGCGGGGAATCAAACCCGGGTCTTCGGTGTGATGAGCGAACGCTTTAACCACTAGGCTACCCCACCACCCTTGTGTGATCGTAAGTCACTAAGGTAACCTTAGTGCAATGTTAAAGAATGGGACTTAAGGCTAACCTTAGTAAAGGTTGCTTTGTAAAAGGAGTCCCTGGGTGAAATCTCATGCTATCTGTGTGTATCCAATACTGTATTTGAGGACGTCCTACCTGTACTCGTCTGTCCGACTCAGCTCCTGTATGTCCTCCACCATCAACATGTAGGCCTTGCCCCCCGTGGCCGGCATCAGGTGGTGTTCATACAGCCACGCCTTGTCGTCCTGGTCACCCGAGTACTGAGGCACCAAACACAGTGGCAATTAATCACACAGCTAATCCATGATGATCTTGAAGATACTCCATAAACGTTTCATTTCCTTTACAGATATCGATTGTCGGTTGTTTTACGCCACAGTCAGCAATATTCAGCTATGTGGCACCCTCTAATGGTGTCATTTACAGCAGTGGCTTACGGAATCAGAAAATGTTCCATCAGTTTATTGTGTCCACTTAATTCTCATTTCCAACAGGTGCCCACTCAATTCTCATTTCCAGCAGCAACCAATGGCAGATCCAGAGACAGGGTTCAATGTTTTGCACTTTCATTTTTACAGACAACTATCATGTACTGTGTTTGGGTTGAGTATGAATTTACCACCTCTCACTATTTAACTTTTTCAAATCGTGGATCTGCATTTGCTTTCAAAATGGAAATGGGGTCCCACTTATTTTATCATATTGTTTCAATTGTTTCCATGGTTACTGTGGTTTGACTGAATGAACAGTGGAACACATGTGTTGTTCCAGCTATTTAAAAATTGACGAGTCTGGACAGGTTCGTTTGGGTTCAAATCGCGGATGGAACTTTCTTATAATACCCTTTTAAATGGCATTCCACAACCACTCAGAGGTGGTTACAACCGGCATGAAGCCCTGGGGCAAGGAACCTGAAACAGGTTCCCTCAACAGGCAGCCACAAAGAAATAATATCAAGTCAGGTCATTGCATGTAACCATGGTAACAGGAATCTAACTGAGAGTGAATATGGTTTTACGCCACTTTTAGCAATATTTGAACAATATCATGGTAAAATAGGGCTTTGTACTCTGTTCCTATGTGAAGAATCAAACCCTGTTTATTTTGTGTGTGTGAAAACTAAATGCTCCAACCATTAGGATACCTCACCGCCCCTGGAACATAACTGGGTAAACTACACCCTGTCACTGGTCAGCTGCCTGATACTGTAATGCAGGGCTCAATTTAAGAGATGTTAACCTACTTGCACCAGGTGCAACCAAAGATAAAAAAACCTAGTTGCACCAGCCAAATTCCAGTTGCACTGCTTTTATTGCAATATGTAATGAAAGAAATATGCTAAATCTTTTATTCTGAAGTTTACCCACTCAAAAACTGACTTGCACCTGGTGCAAGTTAGACTAATATTATTAGGTCGCACTTTGTAATATTGGGTTGCACCAGTGCAAGTAACAAAGCACTAAATCGAGCCCTGTAATGCAATCTTCACACGACATGTAACATACCTTGAATATGTCCGGGTGTTTGATGTACAAACGTCCTCTAGTTGCGCCCAGGCCTAGAGCTCTGAAATCACACAATGTTGAATGCTGCTTTAACATGTCACACCTCAGACCACCCTCTCCATTTCAGTTATGTCTCATAACTCTGACTGACTGAGTTTAGTTTTACGCTGCTTTTAGCAATATTCCAGCAATATCACGGCGGGGGACACCAGAAATGGGCGTAACACATTGTGCCCATGTGGGGAATCGAACCCGGGTCTTCGGCGTGACGAGCCAACGCTTTAACCACTAGGCTACCCCACCGCCCCTGTCTCATAACAAGCAATGGTTACTTGGCACCAGCTCCACCTCTGAATACCCATGGGGGAACCTGACAACTTGGTTGCCAAGCAACACAACCAAGGATCACTGTTAGGTGTAAGTGATTGACAACATGTTATTCCAAACAGCTACTGGTCAAGTGCGTTGTTGTACTGTACATAGGTAGAGCACGTGAGGGCCACCTGTGCCACAAACAGAAGATCTATTCGCTATCAAAAATATATTCACTTACTTGTTAGCTCTTGCTCCCATCACAAATTTAGTTTCTGAGACAATTCGGTCCGGATCCCACTGAAAGGAGATAAAACATTTTGAATTTTAGAACTGGTACGTCGTTAAACTTCACACTCAGATATATTCCAGCTAGTGGGTTGCTGAAGACCAATTCTAACCCGGATCTTCACAGGTGCTATTAGTAATTACCCAGAGTGTTGTATAAATAGGACTTTTCAAATTTTTCATCCATATTTACATGCAAATTGGGCTGTCTTGATCTAAATCTCTAATATACTCTCTCAGTTTATGAATGAGCGAGTGAGCGAGTGAGTGAGTGAGTTTAGTTTTACGTCGCACTCAGCAATATCCAAGCTATTCGACGGTCTGTAAATAATCGAGTCTGGACCAGACAATCCAGTGATCAACAGCATGAGCATCGATCTGCGCAATTGGGAACCGATGACATGTGTCAACCAAGTCAGCGAGCCTGATCACCTGATCCCGTTAGTCATTCTAACCCGGACCGGCATGGGTCTCAGTCCCTGACGTTAGTCATTCTAACCCGGACCGTCCATGGGTCTCAGTTTATGAATCATGATAAAACAACTCCATGTTTTGTCTGTGTACCAGTATTGTAATAGGATCCTGAAAGCCCTGTTGTCCAGTCCTAACCCTCCAGTATTCTATGTTATAACAGGTAATACAAGTCTGACTTAAAACCTACCTTTGGCCCCTCCCGCCGGACTGGTTCATTTTGTTTTATAGACTTCATGGGTGTGCCTCTCCTACAGAAAAAGCATTGAACATTATAATCTTTGTAATTTATGGAAATGAGTGAAAAGAATGCAGGAGAACTTACCTTGCATCAGGTCTCAATAAATCACCTGTCATAGTTTTCAACTTATTTTAAAATCTTGAGTTTGAGAACAACACTACTTTTTCTATTTTTAAGAGCTCAGATAGTGTTTTCAGCATTAATATGTGCTCACCTGTTATTTTCTTACAATTAATAACAACAAAGAAACATGCTCTTTTGACAGTTTAATAATTTTTTTCTGAAGAGGAAGCTGAGGACTGACTGAGTTTAGTTTCAGCGCTTTTAGAATTCCAGCCATAGCAGTAGGGGACACCAGAATTCATTTTCTGAAAACAGTTTCAAAACAAGCCTGGAATTAATTTGTTATATTTTACCTGACTAATATGTAGATCCATAGTCATCAAAACTAACATTAGAAAATAGCAGGATTTATAGAGCATGTGTACCATCAACTAGGTATCAACACATATTTTCATAGTGAGTTTAGTTTTGCGCCACACTCAGCAATATTTCAGCTATATGGCGGCTATTTTCATAACCTTTCATGTATTAATGAAGGTGCTAACATGATTTGATGCACTACATGAATTTAGACATGTTTTATAGAGATGATTATCTCGATTATTGATCAGATCATCCACACTGGTTCTGCCATTTTATCTGAAGCACATGATATGAAAGGCAGAATTTCGGCAATTGAGTGAGTGAGTTGGGTTTTACGCCGCCTTTAGCAATTTTCCAGCAATATCACGGCAGGAGACACCAGAAATGGGCTTCACATATTGTACCCATATGGGGAATCGAACCCGGGCCTTCAGTGTGACGAGCAAACACTTTAACCAATAAGCTATCCTATCTGGTCAGTTGGAGGAAAATAGAATCTATATAACTTATAATAGCCAATGGTAGCACTACAATAGGCTCATGAAATTCCAGCCAAAGTCAGCAGAAGGGAAACTGGACTTCTAGAGTAATTTAACGCCACTGCCTTGATAAAACAGAGCTATGATATTTTTAAACTACAAAAAAGAATGATGTTGTTGCCATAGCAACAGTTTCTGTGTTTTAGGAGAGGTCGGTGACAACTTGTGCTAAATCCTCTTCCTTGTAAATAAAATATGCCTGTATCAAATTCTGTGTGTATATATCATGACATACATACCCTGATTGAAGAGGTGGCCGTCCATTCCTCTGAAATTTAATAAACCCCAACTGCATGAATCCCAATTGCCAGACAATTCAATTCTTCGTGGATGTAACTTTACTAGCAGAACTGTACAGTAAATAAAACTTAGAGTTTGTCCAAAATAAAGATTGACACAAGAATTGAAATTCAATTAAAGAAATGCAAGTAAACATGAAATGTGCATAATGTTAAGGTGAAATATATGAGATGGTACATAGATCAGGAGAACTAAAGACTTTTATGAAATTATTATTCATAAAATAAACATACATTAATACATATTACAGAATGCCAATTAAATTAAGTTTTCTCAAAAGCACAAGATTCATTTTCTGGTATTCATTTTCAACAGACACGACACAGAGAAGAAGGAAGTAATGTTTGACTAACTTTCCTCACCTTCTTCTTGGGCTGGCTGATGTCACTTCCTGCCTCCGAGTTGCTGTCAGACGGGCGACGCCTTCGTCCAATCCCCTGCAAATAGTAGCATGTTATAAACAGGGCTACAGATAAGGGGCGTACAGGCGTAATGTACGCCTCAAAATCAATTAAGTACAACATAATATAAGATTTAAAGCGTATCGTGTACGCCCATAAATACCTTTGTACGTCCAACATTTAATTTCCGTGCGTATCGTGCAAATGGAAATCTATTTCGGATAAATACTTGTCAAGTTTCTTTTGCGAAACACGATTTGATACATGAGGAAACCCTGACAGTAAGAACCACTTGCGTTGCCATGCAACGTTATACGTCACTATTTTTCGATTGGCAAAAAACTACACTGTTCGTATTTATATCCAATCTGACCTGACATTTCGCGCATCACACGGTCGCTTCAGTTATTCCTCACGCGTCTTCAAATACAAATACATGGATGGAAATAGTGATCGATGAATCGTCCAGACAAACCACATCACCAACTGGCTCACACAAAAACATGTCAGTACTCCTTCAAAATTCTCAGTACACCTCCACTTGCAATATGATGTGTAAGTACACTCACACTCCCAAAAGTTATCTGGAGCCCTGAATAAAGTAACATGAAATGTTAATTGAGGTTTCTGATCAGCATGTCTGGGCAATATGCCTGACTGGGCTGTTTCACTACAGGATTCTTCATCTGATAAATATCCCCAGCTGTCAGTATTCTTATCAACATAACATCTGACATGTGAATGGGGTCACATTCACATTTTTCTGTGTTTGTTTTTGGGTGGTGCTTGTACTTTGCGTCCTGCTTCGTTTACAGTGCATTAGACCACTGCCATAATATGCCATACTTTAACATACAGGGTAGAGTGCAGAGATGCCAACCCTGAATTTAATGAAAGTGGAGTCATACCTGGCTGAAAGCCATGCCCGAGAACCGAAGGTGTAAGTTGGGGGTGAGCGAGAGAGGGCTCCGCCATTTCGTTTCACTTACGTATGGGCTATGACATGCATTCGGAAAAACTTCATCGTCAATAACACGCAAAACACACAATCAAGACCTAAAAGATCACATGCTTAGCTTCTGAATACTATTACCGGTGTCAACTCAAATATATCACCGGTGACTTACGGAAGTGTATAACCTAAAATAAATTTCAGAATTTTTTCTAAAAACCCTCAGTTTTTAAAGACAAATCGGACAGTGGATCTTGTACTTGAAAATCGGAGTGGTTGGCATCTCTGACAGTGTCACCTGACCAACCAAGACCTTGTCAACCAGCAGAGATCACTGGGGATGTATTCTTACTCAGAGTGCCAGCAGGAGACAACACCCTGTGAGAAGTCTGTCACTTACCAAGGGTCTCCGCCCACTGTTGCTGCCATTCTCAGACACGGTGTCAGTGTCGTCTCTGACTGGGGTAACACTTCGTCGAGGTTCGCTCACATACATCTTCTTTGCCTGAATGGAATCAAATCACATATTTCTTACATGTCGAGAAAAGCTATTGCATACAATGGATTTACCAGGCATTTACCTGGGTCTGAACAGCTTACATTCAAAACTTTTGAGTGATTGTTTCAGACCAATGCACTCAGAGATGAAATCAAAGCCTTTAAATGAAAAGGGACACAATTCTGCATGGAGTGAGTGAATGAGTTTAGTTTTAGCAATATTCCAACAATATCACGGCAGGGGACACCACAAATGGGCTTCACACGTTGTCCCCATCTGGGGAATCGAACCCGATCCTCGGCCTGATGAGCAAACACCTTAACCACTTGGCTTCCCCACCACCCCAAAACTCTGCATGGAGAATCCTGACTGCACCTACCTCTTCCAGCATCTGTCTACAAACAGCGTGGATGTGATCATCACTGACTGAGTTCTGTCCGTTGTTCAGCCGAATGTTGGATACGGCAGGTTTGAAGAACTTCTAAAATGATAATACACAATATGTAAGGAGTGGGACTGCCCATGTTTACTAGAAATTACCCAATGCCAAACAAATTTCAAAATTTACTACCCTGTATTGTCTGTAAGTTCTTTTACATGTGCTGTAAAATATTCACAGATTGAAATCTGAATGTTATCTTATTATCTAAGAAGCAGTTACTTGGGGGAGAAAACAATCCCACTAGCCTTTTAGGCTTGCTTGGTTTTTGACTCAATTTCCATCACTGCTGCACAGGGGGTCAATTTTTTTTTAAAAAGTCACTTGCCACAGGGCAAGTGACTTTAAGAAAGTAACTTACCCTGACTAATTTTCCACTTGCCCTGATTTTATGAAATAATCATGATGATGTAATTATGAAAGAATAAATGAACACCATGATGGTATTTGATGTTAATGTTTACTGGACTATTCATTGAAAAGTGATAAATAGCAAAGAAAGATAACTCTACTTTATTATCATAGCGAAATTTAATAGCTACGTTTTGAGCAGATATGAAATTAAATCAAAGTTTATTTGCAGTTTGAAACCATAAGTGGAAATTATCTAGTAGCCCACGGACAAGTAAGATACCATTATTTGATTGCCCGAAATGAAAACTGACTTGTCCCGGGCGTCGGGCGATGGGATTTTGACCCCCTGCAGATATGAGGTGTTTCACGATGTGACAACCTTGTATACTGATACTTACCTTGACACGAGTTGCAATACAACAAAATCCTTATCATTTATTTGCACTGTTTTACAAAAATCTTTCCATGTCGCCTAACAAGACCCTTTTGGTGTCAACCAATTTTTAACTCGTCTTTGAACTTGTATAAAGCATGGATAGTGGAGGCATCAGGGTGGTCAAGCAGGATGTTTAAGTTGATTGCATGTCATGGCGCCCTGACTGTGGATTGTTGCTCATTATAATATCAGTGTAGGAAAGATAGCCCGTCCCAACGTCTGAGACGGGGTGAATTTTGTGGAGGACGGGTTAAAAAAATATCTAGTCAGTCCTCATGTCGGGTCAATTTTAGCAAACCAATGACATATATATGATTATAACCTTTTTGAATATTTACTGCCGAAGGTGTTTTATTTATATTTGGAGGACAGGCTAGATTTTGGCAGGACTGGTAAAAAATTTGACCTGCCAGTCCTGTGGACAGGCTAGATTTTCTACATCTTTCCTACACTGATAATATCATTCACTTTGTTGTCCGTACTTAATCAACTTGATTGTTTACAGAACACCTTGACATAGGTGACACAAAAATAGAAAAAAAGAACATGTGTTTTTTGTTTATTACTTGACACTGTACTAAGCAACTATACTACCCATCAAAAGTTTAGACTCACTTAAAGCACTCATTATATGTTATGTATATATATATATGGTTATAACCAAGATGAACTTCTCCACTGCAAACTCTCTGCAGATGAATTGCACAAGGATTATGCATGAAATTGCTGAAAAGCATGTGCAAATATCGTGCATGTGAACAGCTGTGTTTGGGTGGAAAATGTTGTTAAGAATGTGCCAATTTTCACTGCTTTTCATCATTTATTGAACTCATGACAATAATCTTTTCAACGTTATGAATTTGTTTTACAATACATCAGTTCCTGTGTAAACAGTACCTTTAAATATTGTGGAATATTTTGTAAAATCTAGTTTAGAGCAGTTGACTGAAGTAAGTGGCTACATTTACACTAGTGAGTCTAAACTTTTGATGGGTAGTATATATTGCAGCCTGTTAATCGATGGTCAACATTGCGATCAACACTTCTGGTGTATGCTGCAAACCATTCAAAGTCAAGTCTGTTTGATTGAGTGTGATTGACAGAGGGAGAATGGTTTAATGCCACTTTTGGTAGTATTAAAGAGGGGGAAGTAGGTTTCACCAAGTCTGCTCTAGCAGGGGAAGAAACCAAGACCTTTTCTAACAAACGTTTTAACCACAAGACTACCCCTTCGTCCTGACCACCAGATCTATTCTTGACACCTTTAAGAGGAAAACAGGTGAAATGAACCTCTTCCAATCACCATAGCAGGGGTGGAAATAACTTTAAAATTGCTAGAGTACTCCAGTACAGTGGCACATGTAAAATCACTTGCCCTGATCATTTTTCCACTATACCAGACGTTTTCTTGTTGATTTTTTAAATAAACAACATTATTAACATTGGAAAGTCAACTGGACACCGGTACAGCGTGATATACAAATTTGCTTGCCCGACTGAAAAAAACACTGGACTCGGACATCGGGCAATGGGTCATTTCCACGGGTCATTTCCACCCCTGCATAGGGTAAACATGCATCATATATTTCTAACCTCAACGTAATTCTGCACAACAACATCTAGCTCCTTGTTTAAGCTCCTCTGAAGGTTCTGTCGAAGTATGTCGAGGGATTTAGCAGCACTTGTGATTGAGCAAGCCCTGAAACAAAATGGTGAGTGTGTTGGGTTCAATGCTGCTGGAGTATAATTGAGTGAGTGAGTGAGTTGGCTTCTACGCCACTGTATCAATATTCCATGCAATATTACAGTAGAGGACACCAACGATGGGGGGAATATAACCTGGGCCTTCGGCGTGACAAGTGAACGCTTTAACCACTGGGCTATCCAACCCCTCCTGGATTATGAAGGCACATATATTGATGAAGCAGGACCTAAATACAGGAAGAAGAATGTTTTTGGATTTAGTTTCAACCTCAGCTCCACAATCTGAACAATACCATGTCTCCCATGAAGAAAATGTTTATGTAATGCATTTGTCTACTAGTCTCTTACAGTATACACTTGTTATTCTTCTCATCCTTTTTATTTGTGTGTTTTAAGGTGATCGTGTTTCTGTGCTTAATTTGTTTTAACCAAGCTGTATGTCTCACTGTTGTAAAACGAATTCCTTTGTCGGGCAATAAAGTATTATTATTATTATTATTATTAAAAGTTGTGGAGGCAAATCTTGAATTTGATTTTGTAACAGATATCGCGTCAGGGTAAACTTCCAAATATTCAATGATGAATTTCCCTTAGGATATATTTTACATTTATCCCAAACCAAAATGATCAGCAGACTTAAAATGGTCATGCATAAAACAACAACATAGCTCAAAAATTGATAAAACATGCATTACGATAAGAACTGGAAAATAACATATCCAATGTTTAGTGAGTGAGTTGGGTTTTACGCCGCTTTTAGCTATATCCCAGCAATATCACGGCAGGGGACACCAGAAAAGGGCTTCACACATTGTACCCATGTGGGGAATCGAACCCAGGTCTTTAGCACGACGAGCGAACACCTTAACCACTAGGCTACCCCACCACCCCATATCCAATGTTGAGAAAAAACTTCAAATGAAATAATAGGTGAATGGGATACTTCCCTTCATAATGGCCTAACTAGGATTATTTTTCTTCAAATTAAAGCTTTTAATGTTCGATGTAACTTGTTTGACCAGAATTCCACAAGTTGATGAGTAAAAACGAAGTATACAACTTTATGGATAACAACTTCTTGTTTATTGCATACAGCAACATAGATTCTTACACTATTGTCAAGCTATAAACATCACAATGCATGCTTTGTAGTGTTGGGAATTGGTTGAAATCTCACAATTTATGATTGGTTCAATACCAATGACCAATCATCGAAAAAAAATTGGTCAGCGTCATTTTTTTGATTTTCCTATTCAGGTTGTAGTTGCAGATAAGTATAAAGAAAAAAACATTTGGTTCTCTGTTGTTTTTAGAAACTGCACAAATTACATTTGCAGATTTCACATCCAGTGTAAAATGATTCAGTTCCAGTGTAACATTAACTTCCCAGATTCTTCAAGAAATATTCAGTCATGACTTTTCAGAAAGTGAAGTGAGTTTTCTTAGAAATACACACGATTTCAGGCCCTGACAACGTCCTAGATATGTTCCATCATCAAGTATTTCAAACTCTATTACAGCGGTTCCCAAATCGTTTGTGTTTGATTATGAGAAAATGTGATCGATTGCTTGGTCGTTTGGCCACTGCGACCAATCTTCGATTATTTCAATTAATCGGACCACCACTAATGCTTTGTTATTGTTCTATGTAAATTCGTAGGAATTGAGATTTGATTTAACTAAATCGGTATTTGCTTGCCATTTGCTGCAGACTTGGAACCAAATATCAGCCTCTAAGCAGGTTTAGATAAAACACTGAAGAAAATCAAGTCTTGTCAACAGTTCTAATTAGATTCTACATTTGGAGTGAAACGGGTATGCGGTCAATAGACCACGTGTTCAACAACACCTGATCGGCACTCACTTGGCTCTCTGGACAGCTACAGACTGTGCTCGATATGCAGACCTGTACGTTGTGTTGTTGACGGGGAAGTTGGCTAGGTTCTGGAGCCTCATGTTGAAGGGACTCAGCTGTAACCATGGTAACACAGGTTGTCATTTCCATGGTATTAGATTATAATTTCACTTCCATGCATCAATCTTTACTACAGTGTTCCTGAAGTTGCTTTAGTCAAAGAAGTACATCTAAACATGGGCTTATTTTAACAATGACATTATTCGATATGACGGAAATATTTGCATATCCCTTCATGAGATTCCTAGTCTTAAACATTACATACACTCACCTAGTTTCATAACGCACACGCTTATAAAACAAACTAATGGATATAACTTGTGTTGGGAATTGTTAAAATGTCATAATTGGTGATTGGTTCATTTTATAACTGATCAGTCATCGAAAATAATTGGTCAGCGTCATTTATCACATTGTCCTGGTTATGCTTGCTAATGCACAAAAAAATAAAGAAAAAAACATGTACTGTAAACGTACTTATTTTCTCGTGGTGCAATTTTCGGGGAATTGACAGTTTAGACTACATCGCGCGGTCAATTATTCGCGCAATCAGTAATTGCCGGAACTGCCAGCTGTCTCTTTGGCTGCCACTAATAGCAGTGAAAACAAACAGAGTGGCGTTTATTGCTTACTCACAGGAAATCCCTATCTGTGCGATATACTAGTACACAGTAATCCGTTTACTCACGGAAGAGATGAAAAACACATCAGTCTTATGTTCCGAATTCTGACGATCTGACGAATTAACTTCTACTGTATATGAAGCTCTTTGTGATTTCAAAAAAGGCGGGTTGTTGTGAATGAGATGATTGAGTGTTAAGTGACTATTCGCTTCATGATGTACTGGTAAATAAAATCTTAATGAATAAATAAAATACTGCTGTATTATTTCTTTCCGAGTCGTTTCATGGTAATCTGTTTTGTATCAAACCATCTGTCATGTGACCAATTTCCACACACATTGCTGTTTTCGCTAATTCGGCGATGGGATTTGGCTCATTATTTTATTATGTTTTGGGAAATCCAAAGTTAAGTATGATTCTTTATGCTACTATCAGTCGTCATTTTAAGATTCCCGTAGATTTCTGTCTTCAAACTTGATGTGTTATGGTAACAACTCAGGGGCGAGCGTGGCTAGACTGAATGAATGACAGGTTTATTCGCGGTGTATAAATTTTCACGCGAAAATGTTTTGCGCGAAAATAAAACCTGCGCGGAAATATAATACGTTTACAGTAGTTCTTTCCTTTTTTTTGCAAATTGCATAAAATGCATTTGCAAAGTTCACATCTTTAAAGGATGACTAGTATGTTAGGAACATACATTTCCTGGAGTCTTCAAGATAAATTTGATCATGACTTGGAACGAACTTGTAGTGCTTATGAAACGTAACAGACAAAACCAACCTTGTGACAAATATTGTTAATGCAAACAAGTGTTCAAAAATTGTTTGTGTTCGATTATGACAAAACATGATCGATTGCTTAGTCGTTTAGTCATTGCAACCAATCGTCAATTATTTCAACTAATCAGACCACCACTAGATATAACAAACTTTGTTTTTGTATCTGGTCACCGGCTGTATGTAAGTAGTCAGAATATATATATGACGAACTAGAGAGATAATGAACTAAAATAGGTAGTCCCTTTGAGTTAGTTATATCATAGTTTACTGTATGGGGAATACATTAGCATGTTAATTTAAGGTTTCTTTACTTGTTACTGACATTCATGATTCAAAATACACTTCTTTGATTGGCATTCTAGAAGTTGGGTAGATGAAGAATGAGGACTATTTTTATGGATATACAACTTCTTTTTTCTATATAGGCGACGTTTTGATATAGATTCTAATGTCATTGTCACCACTTGCTTGACAACGACATTAGAATCTATGTCAAAACGTCGCCTATATAGAATAAAGAAGTTGTATATCCATAAAAATAGTCCTCATTCTTCAAAATACACTTGGCTAGAAATCACTGTATGCAAAAATCAATTCTCAACATTAAAGTGAAGAGGTACTCAAATGTTCTTACCGAAGACGGGTCACTAAACTGCGTCTCATTGACATGGTTGAATCCTGTGAAACTTCCTGCGTCAACCTCTTTCTTCACTAGTGGTACTTCCGGTACAAGACGGGGCATGTCATTCACATTCTCTTTCTCTGTCTTCCACTGCAGATCGGAAATGTCGGAGGAGGACCGTGGATAGAAGGGAGCTGTGGGCGGAGTTCGTTGACCAGGCTGGTTCGAGTTACTGTTGATAGTGTACGACATGACCGGGACGGGTGCGTGGGTGGTCACTTTGACTGGGAAGGTGAACGGGTTAACTTGACTTGGGGGCAAAGGCTTGGCTTGGTTTGTAGCTGAAAGGAGGCTACCTGCTTCTCCCCTGCAGTTGAATATGGCTGGCCCTGGCTGGCAGGCTGGAAAGTATGTTGTATGTCATGGCGGATATCTGTTTTATGATCTTTCTTTGATTCCTGCTGCCCTTCGTGTGGATATCGACGGGGTGGAACACTGATTCCCTGCGCTTGTGAAAATAGTACATTTACTGACCTGGCTTCTTGAGATGAACTGTGAGCAATGGATGATGGTAGCACTGAGGGCATATCAATTTGTCTTTGTAGTGGAGAAGGGATACGCTCATTGGCATATCTGTGATGTGTTTTGGTGAGATCGACAGCCGGTTGTCCTGACCGACATGTGGGGGGTAGTTCGGGGTGTTTGTGAGCGTGGGGAGGAGAGCTGCCCATTCTCTGCTGCTCCGGGGTTTGAACAGGGGACACATGACCCCGGTAAACTGATGTGGGCGAGGGTGAGAAGCGTCCAAGAGGTTGGGCCAGGACAGACCCTTTGTCTTGGCTGTGGGGGCCTGGAGAGACATGGCCGTGGATCTTGTGAGCGGAGGACACTACATTGCGAGCTGGCACGGGTGACACTTTACCCTGTGCAAGGGACACAGGGGATATGTGTCCCTGTGTTCGATGTCCCGCATGGGAAGGTGAGGGCGTCCTGTGGATTGACTGCGGGGAGGAGCTGTGTCCGTGGGTTCGATGTCCTGCATGAGACGGGGATGGAGTTTTGTGGATTGTCAGAGGTGAAGAAGAGGGATGTCTTGCATAGGGTGAAGGGGGTATGTGCTCTTTGGATGGTCTAGCTGAAGACAGAGGAACAGGTGAGGGTGTGCGTCGGTGACTTTGATGATGACTTCGGAGCTCAGCTTCTAATCTTTCAGCCAATCCACGAGACATCTGCCCTGGATTGTCTCCCAATGACACAATGACTTTCTGTAGACCCTCCGATGAATGAACTATTCTAACTCCAGGAGGTCCCTCTCGGACTGATGGAATTGACCCTGATAATGACACCGTACCCACTGATGATATAGGTGGAGCACGACCAAAAGATTGCGAGTAGACAACAGTGTTAGGAACACTGTTCAAAACAGAGCTGGTATACATCGGCATGTTTAAGTCAGTTTGTTGTGGAGTCGAACCATGTGCCGACAAAGCTATATTATGACCTTCCATGATGAAACTCCTCGGCTCATCCTTTATCGGTCTTCCAGGATGAGCCACATGGCTCCGACGCGGGGATACAGATCGAAATGGAACTCCTTCAACAATATGAGATGACTGAACACTTTTAGGAGACCCAGACCTGAACGACAGAGCTCCTCTTTCACCATCTGGAACTTGAGATCTCGGGGTGCTTTTGGGAGAAACTGACCTGTACACTACTCTTTCCACATGAGCTTCATGAGATACTTGTCTAAATTTTGGTGACACAGATCTAAACGTTATATGCTCCGCTGGACCTTCCACTGGTTGGGCACCAGGTGGCAGTCTGCTCTGTATGTGGACTCCCGGCTGTCTAATGGTCTGGGGCTTTCGTTGCTGAGACTCTTGTAAGTGTCGTATCGTCTGACTACTGAGTCGACCATGATGCTCTTGTTCCCGAGATGGTGGAACGGTTCTTACCACGGTTCTGTTTGGAGGGGATGGAGAACTGGCCGGGGATTGTGTCAGCTTGCCTGTGAGGGCAGAATGAAGCAGGGGTGGGGTGTAACTTTCAGACAGGGCTGACACAACTTGCTGCGTGATTCGCGATGGTGATATATCTCTGCTTAAAGAGGCACTCTTTGTATGTGGGGGTGATGGGACAAAGGATCCCACAGGGCTTGCTCGGCTAGAGATGTGGATCACTCGGTCTTGTGAGACAGGGCTCCGTGCCATTAGAGCTTCCAGTGTCGACTGACTGGCCTGTGACTTAGGCATTATGTCGCTTAAATCATGCCGGTGCATGTCTTGCTCCTTTGGTTTGGGAAGTGATGTTTTCGGACGCTTCTTGTGATGTGCTGCTTCCAGAGATGAGGTAGATGTTGAGTATTTTGTGGAATCAAAAGGTGAACTTTCATGAAAGGTATAAACCTGTGATTCTGAACCACTTGGTTGAAGTTTTGGCTGGGATTTCGAATGGTGAGATTTTTTCATCTCCTTATGTCTGTGTTTTTCTGTGTCCTTCACACCATTTGAACCACTGTCAGCAAAGATATCATGGTGGTGACGTGGGGCAGACTGGATCACCATTCTGTGAACACAAGCAAGAATGAGTGAGTGAGTGAGTATGGTTTTATGCCACTTTTAGCAATATCATGGTGGGAGAGCCCAGAAATGGTCTTTACACATTGTAACCATGCAGGGAATCTAACCCAGGTCCCCAGTGTGACGAACCAAACGAATTAATTTCTAGGCTACCTCAATGCCCCACACAAGCAAGAGAAATACAATATAAAAGTATAAACACAAGGGTTCATTGCGATAAAATAAATTCCAAGTGTTGAAAAATGTTAAATATTGATACAATATTATTGAACACGTTTGACGCTCCTTCAAACAGTTTTTCATTTATAACATGGCGTGGGTGCCTATTGTATGAGGGAAGTCCAAGGTGATGCACTTTGATTAAACACACAATCACAGGCATGATGCTCACAAAGCTAACTTGAGTGAGTGAGTGAGTTTAGTTTTATGCCGCACTCAGCAATATTCCAGCTGATTGTCTACATATATATTGAAGACAATCCAGTGTTCAACAGCATGAGCATTGATCTACACAACTGGGTTACGATGACATGTGGTCAACCAAATCAGCGAGCCTGACCACCTGATCCTCTTAGTCACCTCTTACGACAGCATGGGGTACTGAAGATCAATTCTAACCCGAATCTTCACAGGTCGACAAACTTACATACATAACTGGCAAACCAGGATTTAAACACACAATTATAGGTTTCTGGTATGCCCAGATGACACAACTCTTCACTGGGAATTGCAGTGCCATAGACAACTGTGCCACTGCGCTCCTTGCTTAACAGGAATACAAGATTATCACAGAAATATGAATGAAGTGAAAAAGAAATGTACAATAAGCTTGCCAAAAAATACATTCATGTGAAAACAGTTCAAGTCAGATAAAACCACTTCTTCAGTTATCAAGAATTTGTTCCTGTAATCATGGCAACCAAGCTTATCAAACAGTTTTTGGAAAGTGAAATATTAGAGTATCATCCCTTGCAGCACTTGTTATGTGAATTATTGTAACACTTTTACAGCCAATACTCATCCAGAATCACGAAACATGTTCTATCCTAAAAACGAACACTGAGTGAACAGCATGTACAAAAAGTGCATCAATATTTTATGGAAAATAAGCATTTCCATTCTGCACACATCCTTCCTTACACAATCATAGTTCCTGTGTCTAATCTCAGCAATATTACTTAAATGCCACCAGTCATCAGTTTCAGATATTTTAAGGCCATGCTAATCAATTTACTCTTTACTCACAGTTCCTAATTAATCATGTTAATTGTGCAATTGGACAATACTAGATCATTACCACTACATGCTGTGGTTGGTAGGCTTGACTGCTGGGTTCAATTATTTTGATTAACATCAAGGTGCTTAAACCTGTGAGTACAAACATGTCAAATGGTTAACGAGTCGTATTTGTTTTTCAAGGTCATTAATGTCTTGAAGATATTTATCTGGGAATCGAAATTAAGAGCCCTTGTCAAGCCAGTTGTGATCCCATTTTCATTTATTTTTCTCAAAATTCCAATAATTTGACGTTCTTTATCTCAAAGGTATTTTAACACCTCGCTCTATTCAATGAACATTATGTGAACTAAGTATCAAAGACCCTTCCTGTTTATTGGTACTGCTAAGGGAAAAGTTGAATTCACATCAACCAAGGCTTCGTTAAAACTGTATCAACATCAGGAACATGATGTGGGAAATTCTTGATTTACATTTCGAAATTTCTACTGACCTGTACTGCAGAGTTGGGCAGAAAAACACCCTGTGGCCAAGTCCATATAATTCACTGCATTATTTACTATGTTTACAACCACAGCAATATCTACATATTTACTCTCTGGATATTATTTTTTACTTTATCTGTGATGAAGATAATGAAGGTTAAAATTTTCATAATCACATGCTCCAAATCAAGGTATTGTTTTCATATGTTCAGTTGCTAGTGAATAGAATCCTCACAAGAATGGTCTTTCTCTTTCCACTAACGTGAAAACAAAACATCTCACACGTATAATAAGTGTAATGAAGTATTTTTTAACCTCTTTTCTTTACTGCAGAAGATACAGGTATTAGCATGATTAACCAAGCAGAAAACATATTTTCACCATTCCTTAACACAAATACACATACATGATTTAACATGTTAGACAGTTAAAGATCTGGCTTCTCTGAGATTTAAACAATAGCTTTCAAATCACATGACCATGGTCAGATTTGATCATCATTTGTAACACTTAAAAACAATACTTAACCATAAAGTTAATAACAGGAAGCAACTTAGTATAATCACTGGTACCTCTCTACCAGCTATCCTTCACTCGTGAGAACTTTGTACTAACCAGAAAGTGTCATGCTTATAATTAGCGCAACTTCCCAGATGTCAAATATCCAACTAAATATAGACAAAACATTCACCTGCTTGTATACTGTGTACACTTTAGAAATTGTGAACAACTTGTGCCATAACGTGTTTGGTAATGCACAAGCATCGATTTAGGAAACTGCATTAACTGACTTCCATATTTCACCGTAAAACGTTAAGTTACAGATGACAGCGGCGTGTATGGCAATACATGCTTCAGTGACCGACTTTACACATATGCAAACAGCATAAAACCCCATAATAATGCAAGAAATAACAACTGCCTCGGGTGCATAAAACACGTAAAATTGTGATAGCATACAAATCAAGTAACGCTTACGGCCGCTTGTGATCTGAACCATCCTTAAGATTGTGGAAATGTTCTGATGTTTTTCTGTCCGCCATTTTGTAAACACCATCAAACTGCGGGATTAGAAAAGCAAGGTGCGCGTATTCCCGGGTGAGCATAACAAAATTACTTGATTGTACGTTGCTCCTTAAAAGTTAATTGAAAGGCAAAGAAATGACTCTGAATGGAAATTGTTTTTTTTATTAGGACTGGTGATGATAAATAGGACCAATATGCGTCAGCTGGATAGTTACTGCAGATCGTAAACATGGCAGCTCGCAGTGACAGCATCGGTCCTGACAGGTCAGCAATCTTGATTTAACAAACATACAGAATAACCTACTGGTTTATTATACACACCCAAGCATGCGCTTTATAGTGAAATATATCTGCGAGGTATATTTTTGTTAAATGTGTTGAAAAACAAGTAAATTAAGAAGACTTCTACTTTCAAAGTAGCAGGTTTCAAAGTATTATGCAATCGGCTGCTGATTCGGCGTCATGTTGACTATTCCTATGCCGGGTTTTTCTAGATTATGATTGTGTAAAACTATATTATTATGATTATGATGCACGCAGTCATTGTTGTTTACTAAACTGAATTTTAAGTAATAGATGTTTTGTAGCAGATTTTGATGGCTTCTCACCACCATCTGTAGTCTTGTCAGTGAGATATTCTCATGTGTTGATCAGGGTGATTCCTGTTGGGAATTTAAACCATTACTGAGTGCACCGACTACAAGTAACGCCACACAAGTAGGTGATAATGAATCATGTGTAAAGAGGTTGCAGGTAGGCCAGGTAAATGAGTCAGTTAGCCAATGCCTTACAACAGGATCATCAGTGCTATCACAGATAATCGCCTTGTCAGCTGGTTTAAGGGTTAATCTCTTTGGGTGTGTGGCCCACAATCAGAGGATCCATGGTTCATATCCCAAGAAATGGAATAGGTGTTGCTTTGGCCCAGAACATGGGGCTGAGCACACTCATAATAAACGAACAAAGTCTCAGTACCCAACTGTGCAGCAACGTGGGATGTACCTTTCTGTTCATGGGGTGTATGTAGGAGGGCATGAAGTTATCAAAGAAATAATATCCTTGCTATTTCATGGGGCTAACCTCTTTGGTCATGGACAAGGCATCCAACTGAGACCTGAGAGGCAGTTACTGATTCATGTGACTGACCATGGACAGGCGAATTCTGCATGTCACACAAAAACGTGTCTAAATGTGTTATCTATGAAAATAATGGAATAACATTTGGTACAGTGATGATTACAAGCAATCTGTGACAACTTCCCATCTCATTCTCACTACTAGTTTACACTTTCTGTATGATGCACATGTAATCTACAGTGTCCTGCAGGAAGAGCTTGATGTCCTAAGGGCTATCTACATCCACGAATTGACGATTGATGATGGTGAAAGGTGAGATTTGACACACACACACACGGGAGAATATTAGTTTTTTACATACATACATACAAACATTTGTATAGCGCTGATATCCAGTACAACTGCTCAAAGGTGCTTTGTTTTCCCTCGATCATTTGAAGTCCATCACAATGGTACATCGTATTTTCAATCTCAACTCCCTGGGGAGTATACAACTCTTGCTGCCTACTAGAGTTGTATGTTTTTATTTATCATATCCCTTTTTTGATAATCGAGAGAGAAGAAGCCACAATTTTACTTTGACCCCTGTATGTCCATGTGGCTAAGGACTTTTTATCCCCCCGGCATGTAATGCGGGAGGATATAGTCGACGCCTCATCCGTCCGTCCGTAATCATTTTGTTTCCGGAGCATAACTAAAAAAACGTTGAATATTTTTCAACAAAAATTGGTAGATGTATCAAACAGAACCTAAGGTGGTGCTGTTTACAGATTTTTGTCATTTATATTTTTCTCGGTTTCAATGGAAACGTTTTGGACTTAGTCTTATATGGGTGGGGGGTGGCTTCGTTTCCAGAGCACAACTCGAAAACTTCTTAATATCTTTCAGCAAAACTTGGCAGATATATGAGACAAATCTTGAAGTGGTGCCTTTTGGTATTTACAGATTTTTGTGATTCATTATTTTCTCGGTTTCCATGGAAACAATTCAGTCTTAGTCTCAAAAAGGTTTCGTTTCCGGAGCACAACTCAAAAGCTTCTTAATATCTTTCACATAACGTGGCAGATATTTGAAACAGATGCCAAAGTGGTGCCTTTTGCTATTTGGCATATTTATTTCTCCTGGTTTTCATGGAAATGATTTGGACTTAGTCTAAAAAAATCAAGCTGGACTTTAAGTAACTGTCAGATGATTTGTTCTTTCAAATATGTGGGGCCGAGGGGATATGTCATCTTCTGATGACTCTTGTTAGTCATGTAAATATATTAAATGAAATATGATATATTTGTGAGGCTGAAAACATGATGTATCATAAAATGAGCTGAATTCGACGTTCTGGTGATTTCGACGATTGCATTGCTCACGCTATATTGGGGGAGTATGTACACAACTGGTGTGTATAGACAGTTTCATCTGTAGACAGATCCCTAGTCGCTGTCGTGAGATCGTTAATACCACTTCATATGTAAAATCAATTGCCTCTATAACAAAAAAGAGCAAGCGAAAATTCATTAAGATCAGTTGTCTGCTAGTAACATGCAATATATAAATAGGAAGCCACGTGATCACAACACTCCCTCGCAGTGCGGAGCGAAAAGTATGGTTATCGTCGAAAACCCATACTAAATCCCCGGATGTGCAGAGCGGCAACAGTTTCGTCGATATGATGTCATCAACGCTATTTTTGTAGGAAACACTTGATAATTTTGTGTGAAATAGATGAATATATCCCTTATCACTCAAGGGCAGTGAAATAAAAACTTTAAATGATATTAAAGATAAAAATTACATTTTTGTCTTACATCGTCGAAAACCCCTGACACCGGGATACTGGTACTATATGAACTTTTATGTGAAAGAGAGAGGATAGTGTGAAGGAATGAGGCATAAAGGACAAACTGAATTTGGTTATTTTTCAAGCTGGCCATTGATCGTAGCAATTTTATTAATATTTTTTACTTTTAGTCTGACGTGATTTGTATATGGCAAAACAAATAAGCAATAAACATAATGAAATAAAAACATGGATCATCTTACATATTCAAATACAGGTACTAACTAAATAGGGATGAGTATGGTTTTATTATTTATAGCACTACTCAATATGTGTTGCAAGTGTTATGACTGATCATTTTTAATTCAGCACATTTGTCTAAATCATATTTGCTAGTCTCTGTTTCAGTTTGTTTTATATTACACTGATTTTACCAAGATTTTCGTTTTGCTATCATGATTTTTGTTTGTTTTTGAACTTCTCTCTTATACATTTTTAGTATTTTACCAGGGGTTCAAAAATCCCATCGCCTGACGTCCGGGACAAGTCAGTTTTCATTTCAGGCAATCAAATAATGGTATCTTACTTGTCCGTGGGCTACTAGATAATTTCCACTTATGGTTTCAAACCGCAAATAAACTTGGATTTAATTTCATATCTGCTCAAAATGTAGCTATTACATTTCGCAATGATAATAAAGTAGAGTTATCTTTCTTTGCTATTTATCACTTTTCAATAAATAGTCCAGTAAACATTAACATCAAATACCATGTTGATTTCTTCTTTCATAATTACATCATCATAATTATGTCATAAAATCAGGGCAAGTGGAAAATTAGTCAGGAAAAGTTACTTTCTTAAAGTCACTTGCCCTGTGGCAAGTGGCTTTTTAAAAAAAATTTGAGCCCCTGTTTTACTGATTATCATGAGTAATTCTTTTACTGAGAATTCATTGTTGGAAAATCAAGCAATGATACTCTGAACTTCAAGCAGAGTTCTTACCAGAATAGAAATGTCAGTTGTTTTTAACATGAAAGCAACAGTTCAGATTAGTTTTCATGATTTAAACAATCATATTATTCTGCTCCCCAAGAACTCACAGTGAAAAAGTATTTGCTTCTATTTCATAATTATTGTCCCCTGGCATATAATGCAAGGGGATATATTCAAAGCCTCGTCAGTCCATCCATCCGTCCATCCATCCGTCCACCCGTAATCATTTCGTTTCTGGAGCATAACTAAAAAAAACATTCAATATTTTTCAACAAGAATTGGTATATATATCAAACAGAACCTTAATTGGTGCCTTTTAGTGTTTACAGGTTTTTGGCATTTTTATTTTCTGGATTTCCATGGAAACAATTTGGACTTGGCCTCAAAAGGGAGGGGTGGGCTACAAGATTTGGCAGATATATCAAACAGATCTTGAAGTGGTGCCTTTTGCTATTTGCAGATGTTTGGCGTTTATGTTTTTCAAGATTTCCATAGTCTGAAAAAATCAAGTTGGACTTTTAAGTAACAGTCAGATGACTTGTTTTTTCGAATTTGTGGGGATCGGGGGGATTTGTCTTCTTCTCTTGACTCTTGTTTGAGTAGTAGACACCATATTTAGTGTCTCTTAAGCATAGTAAAGATTATTAAAGATATTTTTTATCTTCCCCCAACTGCAAATTGATTGATTTGATGTTGTGGTGCACCGTCTCTTGATGTTGTTTTTTTCCATTACGTTCAAATTTGTCAACCCATCTGAAACTACACAGCATACACAATAACGCTGTAGTGACAGACCGTTGAAGGTCCGGGTTAGAATATTGATCTTCAGTAACCCATGCTTGTCGTAAGAGGTGACTAACGTGATCGGGTGGTAGACACATGTCATCGGTTCCCAGTTGAGCAGATCAATGCTCATACTGGATTGTCTGGTCCAGCCTCGATTATTTACCGACCGCCACCATATAGCTGGAATATTGCTGAGTAAGGCATAAAACTAAACTCACTCACTCACTCAGTGACATCTCTGAGACACAGCTCAAAGAATTCAGATCCCTTTTTAAAAATGAAATGAAAATCCATTTCTCATCCAGTTTTGACTATGTGATTGATCAAATGCCAAAATTTATAACTGAAAATCTTTTTTTCTCTGCTTGACTTGCTGAATATATAGCAGGTATAAAGTTATATAGTTGTAAAAATATATATAAAGTTGTCAAACATGGGCAAAATTTGAGCAATATTGGACAAGGTTTGACAGTTATTTTCTCTTATGTGGATATTTTTCAGAAACATGAATTTATTCTTAGTACCTGTTTGTTGTTTGAAACTGCACATCTTTCGCTGATCATGTTTATTGTATCGGAAGAAAACCTCTGTGACATTATATTCTGTGTTTCAGTGGGCAACCATCTGTACTGCATCTCAATTTGCACCCAGCGACGGGGACGATGTCACTAAGCAGTTTGTCTGCATGACCCTTGTGTTCAAGCTCTCCGAAGCTGTAAGAGTTTAATTTTATCGTTTAACTCAAGAAACGGTTACTGATTCAGGAATCGTTCACTTTTAATGCCATCTGGCATGGAACATGTTGAGTGACTCTGTGGATTTGGGTTAGAATTGGACAACAAGCTATGCTGGTGACAAGAGGTGTCTTAATCAGCCATAGACGTAACGTGTACGCGAGACGGCCTATTGTCTCTTGTATGCGAGACCGGTGCGCTCAGTAGTACTAACTGAAGCGCTTGACCCTAATTAATTCAATCACCGTGGAACCAACTCGATTGGGTGCGAACATGGCGCGGGGTGATTAAAGCGGGTGAATATGCACATAAGGTGAAATTGCTGTTCAATATCGTCAAAGTTTGCTTAAATTTTGCACATTTTTCTCAAAATTTGATTCTTTAATGTTTTCTTTTTACGTTTTTATTCATGTCAATCAATAACTTGAACACCTAACAATGACTGTAGCAAATTTTGTTTAATTATTTTCATAAATAACACTTTTAGACGCGTTTTTGTGTGACACGCATAATTTCCCTGACTGTGATCGGGCAGTCATGCAAATGAGTGACCCCCTCTTAGGTAGTCACTTGTATGCTAATGGGGGACCGTCTCGCGTACACGTTACAACCTCTACTGTTAATGGATCTTGTGGTCAGACTTGGTCCATTGTGTATCGTCGTGACCTGACAGCATGGAGCAGTGCTCACAATATCAATCACTGGATTGTCTGGTCCAGGTTTTGTTTACTTTAGTTTCAGGCTATCATTTTATAGGTGGAATATGGAACTTTACATTCAAACTTTTCATATTAAAATATGTGTTTACTATTTTCATGTATCTTGCCTCACACACAAATGTCGTTTACTGATTGGCTGAGCGCCCTTCTATTATTTTCAATGTACCCCGCTTACAAGCAAGTAACATTTTCTATGTACTCTGCTGGGAATGCGAACTCATTTGGGCTTTAGTAGTAGTTCTTTATCTCGAATAACACTGAATCGCATTATGATGTATGGAAATTACCAATGTTTTGCTAATGCAAATCGATGGAAGGGAGATAACTCTAAATTTGTTTTTCTTGTTGTCAGTCTGGTACTCCATATTATGATCAATACCCGTGTTTCAAACAGTTCAAAATTACCATTGAGGTGTTCGTAAGATAAATATGTTGTTCTCTGGTCCCTCGGGGCCCATGGGTTGATGTAATCTCCATGTTTCTTCAATATTCCAAAAAATTTGACAGAAGAAAAATGGCAATAGGACATTTTAGGGTTTTTGTGTCTTTTGATATTTTTCTATATCATGATCATGATTACGGAATTAGAAAAATATCTTGATGACATTCAAGATGACAGTCAATCAGTATTCCTGGAAACAAATCGACCTGTAATCCTGTCTAAGGCTAAGTGACTATTTTCAGGTGGAAGAAATGATTAAGGACAAAATACCTGTAACATTGATAAAGGCTGTTGTTATGTGTAGATTGCAATGATTAGATCAAATCTTGGGTCTTTTTATGTAATGCTTCATGCTGTGTTTCACTAAATTTCAGTATCCAGATGAAATTCCTGAAATTATCATCAAGAACCCAAGAGGGCTTGCAGAAGAGGAAGTTCAGAGGTGAGATGTTGCTAGTGATAGCAGGGGTTGATTTAGTAATGAAAAACTTGTGCCATCTATTATTGTTCATAATGTATGGCTGGGGGTGGGGGAGTGGTGGGGTGATGATGATTTTATGGGGGGTCACCCATTTTGATCTAGGGAGGTAGGGGATCATCAATTTACATGTACTGGGGGGGTGAAGGGTCAGAAATTTTGTACATAAAATTTTTAACAAGTTAAGCTTAAAAATTATCTGAAGTGGGGGTGGAAGGTGTCATTGATTTTCTACATGACTTGGGGTGGGGGGTTCACTTACCTTGTACATAAATTTTAGGCAGGGTCATTCACATTGTACATGCTTCTCCATAAAAATCAGCAGCAGCCATAAATTATGAACAGTCCCTAAGATATGAATCGATACAGAATTCAACTATGAATCAATACAAGTATGTTTGTATCACAATTTATGTACAAAGTAAGTGTACACAATCAATGACGACCCCCCTAGTACATGTGTACAAAATTGATGCTCCCCATACCTCCCCAGAACAAAATGGGTGACCCCCCTTAAAATCATCATCACCCCCCACCCCCACCCCAGCCATAAATTATGAATAGTCCCTCAGCACCCTATTGTTTCACTCTTGTACCTATTGTTTCACTCTTGTACCTGTTGTTTCACTCTTGTACCTATTGTGTTTTCACTCTTGTACCTGTTGTTTCACTCTTGTACCCATTGTTTCACTCTTGTACCTATTGTTTCACTCTTGTACCTATTGTTTCACTCTTGTACCCATTGTTTCACTCTTGTACCCATTGTTTCACTCTTGTACCCTATTGTTTCACTCTTGTACCTATTGTACCTATTGTTTCCTCTTGTACCCATTGTTTTCACTCTTGTTTCCACTTGTACCTATTGTTTCCCATTGTACCCATTGTTTCACTCTTGTACCCATTGTTTCACTCTTGTACCCATTGTTTCACTCTTGTACCTATTGTTTCACTCTTGTACCTATTGTTTCACTCTTGTACCTATTCATTAATTCATTTTTATTAAGAAACCTGAATGATTTGTAATCTTTGACTGAAACAAACAACAGGGGTTCATTAAACAAGTATTTTTATCGAGCAAATGTATCATGTTTTCTGAGATAGAAAAAACACCTTGTGTATTGTATCTTCTCATGAAAACAAGCGATGCATTGATGTATTGTTTTACCCCATTGCTGAAGTATTCATGTGTACTTCAGACTACAGGAGGACATGCATGTCCTGGCTGAAGAGAGGACTGGAGGACCAGTGCTGTATGAACTTATTGAGGTGGGCAGTGTCTCCAAATAGTTAAAACTTTCCTGTCTCCTACTGATTTTGTCTCTCTCCCTTTGCCTGAGATATGGTGGATATTTTCCATGCTATGTTCTCCAAGGACAGAAAAACATCCTCCCTCTCTCATGAATGCGTACTGGCCCCCAAGTGATCGGCCGTTGACTCATTCGCTCTCTACATCTTTGCCCATCAGGATGGCTGGAGAATTTTTTTCCTGGGGAAATTTTTATCTGTTAATCCAAGTACAGTCAAATCCCGATGAGTCGAATGCCGGTGTCTCGAATATTATGCATAACTCGAAGTACCTGTCGGTCCCAACCATTCCCTGTTATAGTTGTCATCATTTGATTACCGGTTACACGAATTCATCTCATAAATACACACGATGACTCGAAAAGGAATTTTGGTCCAATGAGATTCAAACAACAGCAATCTTGTATACATAAGCCGAAGTCAGTCAATGAGAAGTTGGATTGGTGTAGCAAACTTATCCAATTAACAAACCAGCGCGGCTCACACCTTTCCACCTTTGACGGGTGAGTTCAAAAGGCAGATTAGTGATTTTACGGAAATCACTGTCTGTGCTAATCAGACTGGAACTGATAAGGTGCCCCTATTAGTGATAGGTAAATCATTAGATAAACAAATGCTTAGGCGGAGGAATTAGGACTGGATCATCTTTTTTTCTACCCTCATAGGCATACCTATGTCTCGAATACATCGATAAGTCGAATTTCTTACTTGGTCCCCAGAGATTCGACTCATCGGGATTTGACTGTAATTCTATTAAAGTTAATAACCTTTTAAACACATTTTGGCTTGGATTATCTTTATTAACCTTTAGTTAATCATGTGTTATTTTTTCAAAGTGGTGGTCAATTAGTGAAATTTTCCAACTTAATTACACCCCTTCATTTTTCTTTAGAATCCGCTTCCGATTTGTTCATATTGTGTCCCTGAAATTTTGTGAACTTAATGTGGAACAAACCAGCCACCTGTAGATGAGTAGGTGTCGTACGACACGACTAAATGGTTTTGGGTGTCAGGCTCGCAGATTTGATTGAGTTGTTTTTTTAATTCCAATTTGATTACATTATGTCAATGGATAGATGCTCCTGAAATCAGTCACTTGATTGTTAAGTTTTGTACCCAAACCGTATCTAAGTGTTGCAAGTTGTATGGATCTCAGATGAAAATATGTCTCAATTTCCAGATGGCGAAGGAGATCCTGACGGAAGGCAACATTCCGCGGTGCCCGTGTGTTGTGTGCTTGGAACACTTCCACGAGGGGGACATGTTCACCCGCACCGACTGTTACCACTACTTCCACATGGCATGTCTGGCCCGATACGTGGAACATGCCCTCACGCAGGAGCCAGATGTCAAGGTCATGCATCTCAACAATGAACACCAACAACCCAAGGTAGGAGAAGAATTGACCCCAGAAATTCATTTAATTTTTCAAGCAAACTCAACATGATTGCATACAAAATTAAGACTTGGTGACAGTGTATTAAAACATTATTTGTGTAAAAAATGATTGAACAAGAATCTAAAATGCTGATGTGGCAATCCATATGAAATTCCTATCCTTTTTTTATTGAATGTCCATGTTTTAAGTCAGCTGGGAAAGAGTCTCCAAGTTAATAATGAAAAATACTTGTGAACTTAATGTTCACCCTACCCTACCCTACCCTACCCTACCCTACCCTACCCTACCCTACCCTACCCTACCCTACCCACCCCTACCCTACCCTACCCCACCCTACCCTACCCTACCCTACCCTACCCTACCCTACCCTACCCTACCCCTACCCCTACCCCCCTTCTACCTACCCCATCCCACCCCACCCCACGTAAACACAGAGATTCATTAAAAGGGTAAATTTATTTCAAGAAGTTTGTTTGTTGTTTAACGATGACATGTGTCAACCAAGTCAGCGAGTCTGACCACCTGATCCCATTAGTCACCTCTTACGACAAGCATGGGTTGCTGAAGACCAATTCAAACTCGGATCTATTTTAAACAAGTGTATTTTCTTGTTTCATTACACTAAACAAAATCTACCATTTATTATTTCATCATATGAAAACTTGACAATGTGGCAACATGACAAGTTGTTTAGTTTCTGGAATTCCACTAACTAAACATGCGACTCCTCGTCCAGGTGGTGTGTCCTGTGTGTCGAGATGAGATCACGTACGACCTTGACGAGTTGAAGGAAGCCCCAGCTGCGGATGCTGATGACGACCCCTACACTCCATCATCCGCAGTGGTGCAGCTGCAGAAGGACATGGCCGTTCTCTATGCAAAACAGAAAGCGAAGGGCGGGATCATCGACCTGGAGGCAGAAAAAAACAGATTTCTAGTCAATGAGGTGAGCGTGTGAAGATTATTTGGACTATTGCTTCAGTTGAACTTTTGGAATTTCTGGAATACAGTTAGCTTTGTTTATAGTGAATACGCTCATAACAAACAAGCTCTAACAAATTGTTTTTGTTTTTGGGTCCCAACACTGTCTGTATATATTTAGTCAAAATGTGTTTAACAAATTATGGGTATAGCAACTAAAATTTGTTGGCCCTTTAAGTTAATTCTTTCTATAGTGGGGCAGTGGGGTAGCCTAGTGGTTAAAACTTTCGCTCATCACACCAAAGACCTGGGTTCATTTCTGGTGTCCCCAACCGTCATGTTGCTGGAATATTGCCAAAAGTGGCATAAAACCAAACTCACTCACTCTTTCTATAGGTTAGTGTGTCTTTTGGAAATTCATGAATTCTTTCAAAGTTTCCTATCCATTCATACGCCGATACAGCCCTTATCTGGAACCCTGCTTGTCTGATCACGAGCTTGTCAACTCTGGTGAATTTTGAAGGAAGGATTACGTGTTTTCATCTGTGCAAAACTTGTTAGCTATGACAAGCAATAACTTATCTTTAGCAAGGATCATATCTGATTTACCTCTGAGCATTAGGACTGTTATTGGCTGGGCTTACTACATGTAGTAAACCAAAAGAAATTTTAATAAAATCAGCCTTCATACATCTTGACTAATGTTGCCAACTGATCTATGTAGTCTTGATCAGAATTATCTCCCTTGCACTAAGCCCTGATGCAAATGATTTGTTAAATTCAATGGTAAGCAATATAAGGTACATAATGGGGAAATTATGTTCCATAGTTCACCATTTTTTTCTTAGTTTGGTTTCATGTTGATTAGTGGTAAGGTTTAGGTCACACTCATTACTCCACTGTTTCAATTATTTGAGAAACATCCCTATGAGATGATATCTCATTGCATTGTCAGTTGAACTTTTGTGGGAGCAGACGTCCCAATTGTCTGAAGCACTGTGATTCGCTGTGCAGAGTTACATCCCTTTGGTGGAGCCCGGTTAGCCCCAATTATGAATGTATGTTTGTCAACACCATGCCAGTGTTTGTTGGGTCTATCGCGATGTGTTTGTCAGACCAGCATCACTTCCCTCCCACATCTGTTCAAAGTGGTGTTCAACCCAACTCACTCTCTAAAACTGCTGCTGAAGATTGTGTTTGAAAGTGGTTTCACTGAGCTCATATTTCTACTTATGGTCAGAGGGTCGGTTGCATTGCGCAGTGGTTTGCTCATCAACTCCAGAACCAAGGTTTGATTCCATACATGGGCATGATGTGTTAAACCCATTTCTGCTGTCCCCAGCTGTCCTATTGCTGGAATATTGCTAAAATGCTCTGCAAACCATACTCACTCACCCTTATGGTCAGAAAACATAGGCCTGATGTTTTACAGAATATCCTGCCAGTAAAGTAGAAATAGAGATTTTTTGTGCCAATACTCAAAAGCACACTCTGTTAATAGCAATGGGGCAGTGGGGTAGCCTAGTGGTTAAAGTGTTCGCTCGTCGAAGATCCAGGTTCGATTCCCCACATGTGTACAATGTGAGAAGACCATTTCTGGTGTCCCCCGCCATGATATTGCTGGAGTATTGCTAAAAACAGCGTAAAACCATACTCACTCATCACTGTTAATAGCCCCAGTTCATTTCAGTCAGATAATCAATATATTTGCTAAATTTTGAAGGTTATTACTCCTTCCAGCTGGTTTAATTAGAAAGGTGTAATATTTGCTTTTAAATATGCTGACCATTTCATATTTGTGGAGTCCTTTCACAACATTTTAAGGCAAATAAGGATACTGTTATGTACCTGTAATATTGTTGGCTTTCTATTTGTTCAGGGTGAAACATTATGCACTCAATTATAGGGTTGTAGCTTAATTCAGCTGATTTCCATTTCCTTTTCCTTTAAAGTTGATGAATTTTTCTGTGAATATACAGAGATGAGAGCTGTTTGTATATATTCAGACATCTGCAGGTTTTGTAACATCAAGGGCCACTTTCAGATATTTACTCACAGAATACGGTAAACTATGGTTATTACGAACTCAAGTCAAAGAGACCACTAATTTAAATTTGTTACAGCTGTAGTTCATTGTATGCATTTTGACTGAAATATAGAGGAAGTGTCCCAAGACAGTAAACAGTTTGTTAAATTCATCACGGCCCGGTTGTTCAAAACTCGGGTATCATAACCGTCGGTTAACTCCTAACAGCATTAGCCATGAACACCATTTTGCGAGTTAACCACATTGTTAAAAAGTTAGCGGCGGTCCTTAGGTGTGTTAACTTAACGTCACGTTAACAACCTGTTAAAAGTTAACAGAGTTTTGAACAACAAGATGACCCTCTGTTATTAATTAACAGTCGGTTAAATATACTTAACGGCTGGTTAAAAGGTAACTGAGTTTTGAACAACCCGGGCCCAGGTCTTCATAAGTGTGTTCGTTATAGGCATTGTTTACTGTATTCTATGAATCATTTAGTCCCCCAGATCCAAGACTGACTTTCATTATATTTATCAACCCCTTTTGATCCTTGAACATGTCTAAATAGTGATCCCTTGAATGGAATGTTGACAAAGATATTTAATAGTTTCAATTTGTTTCCAGGAAACAGTCGTGAACCTTAAAGTAGAAAAAGAAAATACAGTCGACAATGAACCTGTGAAGAAGTGCACAGATTCTGATTCCAAGTCTGAAAAGACGGATAATCGGCATCGGCATAATGATAGAATTGTTGCCAAATATAAAGGCTATCCCAGGAGAGACAGACCAAACAGTGGATATCAAGGCAGACAGAGTCCCAGTGGTGAACATATTAACTCAGCAGTGGAAGGCAAGCAGAAAGGGGGAGACAACTCTCAGAAAGTGGATAGAGTTACTTCCCATGATTCAGAGAAGAAATCACATGATGGTTGGCGAAGAGAAAGAGACCACAATTTTGGTAGAGAGAGAAGAAAAGAATATGGTGGAGGAAGAGATCGAGATAACTGGAGAAGAAGAAATGATGGAGAAGAGAATCAGAGGGGTGGCTCGGGTAGAGATCAGAGAAATGGAAGAAGATTTGATAGTTATCAAAGAAATGATCATGGAGACAGAAAGGAAAAGGGGCGGAATGACCGTTTAAGGGATGAAAAGGATGCTTTTGATCATTCTGAGATGTCTAGTGAAATAGAAAATGTTGAAAAAAATAATTCAAGACCAAAAAGAAAACAATTTATGAGGAATAAAAATTCAAATAATTCAAATGATACGGACAATGTTGAGTGCAGTGTTGAGAACTCCTTAGGTAAAGAAAGTCCAAGTGAGGAGAGAGTTGTGTCCCCTGAATCAGAATCAGGGATAGGAACACAAACTAAAACAGAAAGAAGAGGCCAAAACTCCAACAACAGAACTAGGTGGGAAAATGAGGAGTATGGGAAGAGTTCTAGTCAGAGAAATTGGCCAAGGGAGGAAGGGCGGGGAAGAGGTAGGGGCAGGGGAAGATGGCAACCTCAGGGCAGAGATGCTGATTACAGTGAAAACTGGGACGAGGAAAGGACTGATGTTGATTCTTCAGGTATTAATGGGAAGGGAGAATCTGAGAGTGGAGAACCCTTTAAGAATGAAAGTCAAGAGAAAAGTGATGAGAGGACAGATGAGAGGAAAAGGATTTCTGACAGCAGGAACAGTGATGGAACTTTAAAGGAAAATGATGTTAAGGCTGATGAGAGGAGTCAACAGAGGAAGGAACGCAGAGATGGTCCGAGAAATGACCGTCAGAGGAGAGAAGAGTTTAATGAAGGACAGACATATAGTGACAGAAGTTATGGGAAGGGTAACTGGAGAGGTGATAGATACTATAGTAGCAAACATTCTGGAGGCAGAAACAGAGGTCGAGGACAAGCTAATTTAGTTCGGCAGGGTCAAGGACGCCCGGAACAGAAAGGTCAGGGGTCATCCACCACAGAAAACTGGGACAACGAAAGAACACATGTTCCTAAATCACCAAATCATGAATACAAAGGTTCTAAAGCTGGGACTTCTTTTTCAAGAGGTCGAGGTCAAGGTCGAGGTCAGTCAAGGTCAGGTCGAGGGAGAGCAAAAATTGAAGAAAATGATGGTAACAAAGGAAAAGGAACAAATGAATGCAATGAATTTAAGAAAGACAAGAGATATGACAGTAGGTACGAAAGAAAAGAATATCATCGCACAAAGGATCATCGTGAAAATTCTGAATCTTCCAAAGAAAACAGTAACCCTCCAAATGTTGAAAAAATGTCCAAAGTACAGGGCCCTCCTCCAGGCATTAATTCTCCACCCGGTATACATGTAAAGGGCCCTCCGCCTGCACCCGGTATACATGTAAAGGGCCCTCCGCCTGGTTTCAATGCTAGTTCCGATAAATCCAAAATATCCAACGAACAGACCCCACCTATCAACCCTCCACCAGGTTTTGATGTCAGATAACACACACTGTATGTATTTTCACTTTATGTTGCCTTTATTTGGTTCTTGTTTTTATGTAATTTATTGCAAGAGTTTCGTGTTTTGTTCTTAAACATAATCTCATTTATGTTCCGGTTGTCTCTCGGGTACTCGTTCTACAACATATTACACATGAATGGTGTCGGCAGAATGTATATTAGATTTGTTGTAACTCAAATTAAATTATTTTAAATGTTAATATAATTACTACATCATGGATTGGAGTATGATTAGAGACAACTTAACCCACGTGTCTTTCATTTTACTTTTCATGGACAGTATCATCAATATATTTAGTGATCAGTAAAGTTTAGTTCATGGTCACTTGTTTGAAGTTTGCTGCATTTGGCTACTTGAATATAGTATTATATATTGCATATGCTATTAACTGCCAGTTCTTATATACTGTACAACATTAGAAACGCACCACCCATATAATACGAAATATCGCCACAGACTGCAATGTATCCACGATATCTGAGCATTAGTCGGTGCATTGTAGTGTAGTGCGTTTCTAATGTTGTTCAGTATAGTTTTGTTTAGTTCATTTATGTCTGTATCAGCTGATTCAGGATATGATACAAGTATGTATCAGTTGTATCATGAGTCACTGAAACCAGAATGCATTTACAGGGTGAGATTTCGCTATTTACAACCTGCACTGGTGCATGTTAAAATGGCTGGTGCAGGTCGCCTTAGTACAGCTTGTTCAGCTTGACCTGAGCTACTCTACATATGCATGACCTGGGAGGTCAAATGGCAAAAACGGCAGGTCGAGTTAACTTCATTAAATAGGGGGAACAGAGAATGTAATTAACATGTGAAACATGCATACATGGATTCGTTACAGAACTTGTCTCGGAAAACAACACTTCTGAAAAAATAATCATTTCATGTTTTAATTGAATTGTTTATACAGTCATATGCTATCTAGTTTGGTTTACTAACTTTACAACGTACAGACGTCAGTTACTTTCACAATCCGATTCACTCTCGCTATCACTTTCTACACCCAGTTCAATTATCACTTTTTCTATTTCATGAATGGGGAATATTAAACCATCTGTAGCTTCTTTTTTAAAGAAAGTTAGGACATTGTCAAACAGCGACCTTGTCTCAGCTGTTCGGACATGTTGACAATCAACTGACAAAGGTGCACCCCTTCCCAATAATAGACCCAACTAGTTGTGACACAGTCAAGCAATGCATTAGTATTCACTTGATCAGGTCATGCTGAACAAGCTGTAACTGTTTGCAATCAGTGCAAGTAACAGTAAATGCAACATCTTATGGCTGTCATTGTGTGTTTAGTGGGGAAGTAAGTAGCTGGAAGTAACAAGACTTGTCACAAGCATAAACATGTGTGTACTCATTAATCCGTAGCAGTAATCATATGACTGAGATTTATAATACAGGTAACGCAAAATTGAAACAGAATCATTCATCATTCTCATCATGGGGTCAGCTTCTGTTGAAATTATCTAATACTGAGTACTTATTATGAAACTTGCTAAACAAGTATTTATGTTACGTCTTAAGGCCAGTGACATTATTTTATGGTGCAACCAAAATTCTGAGGGTGCAGCCAAACCTATAAGCCAGGTTGAACTTAGTGCGGGTACTGAAAGAAAACAACAAATCGCACCTTTATTTAGTGTGTAAATAAACATGTCACCATGTCATTTCTTACGGATTTCAACCGCTTTATTTTTTATTTGTTTGTTAATTCAGGGCTACTTCTTGGCCCTACATTAGGTGAGAAAGGGACGGAAATATCCCTGAATTAGCATTACAGACAATACAGACGTTGTTCAGTGTCATTATAACGAGGAACAGAACATTTTGGAGGACAGTCAAACACCATAGTAGTGAAGTTGTAGGGACCTGTGTAAATATTTTGAGTTGAAGCAAACCCAAAATGTTTGTTAGTGTTTGTTGCTTTACGCCACACTCAGCAATATTCCAGCTGTAATACGGCAGTCGAGTCTGGGCCAGGCTATCCAGTGATCAACAGCATGAGTATTGATCTATGTATGGGGTGTGATGTCATGTGTCAACCAAGTCAGCAAGTCTGATCACCCCATCCCGTTAGTTGCCTCTTACGACAACAATGGGGATGCAGTTGTTACCCGGATGTTGATGGGTGGAGACCTAGAATGAGAACTGGATGAGGAATGCCAGGGGTGGAAATAACTTTAAAATTGCTAGTGTAGTCCGTTACAGTGGCACATGTAAAATCACTTGCCCTGATAATTTTTCCACTGTACCGGCCAATTTCCTTGTTGATTTTTTAATAAACAACACAATTAACATGGGAAAGTCAACTGGACACTGGTACAGCGTGATATACAAATTTGCTTGCCCGACAGAAAAAAACACTGGACTGGGGCATCGGGCAATGGGTTATTTCCACCCCTGAATGCGCAGGGGCCAAGCTTTCACTTTGAGACAGCGGTAAGTTTGTCACGTCAAAATTTGACACATCAGTGTTTGACTGTATTTTCATACCTCTTTATTAGGTGAATTGATGCTAGGATGCAGAGAGCATACATGTACATATATATAAGAACAACAAAATGAAATAGTGACAGTTATTCAGTGCTCATTGGTGATTAGAAATGAAATAGAAGCCAGTTGTTGAATTGGCACTTTATGTGTATAAAAAGCATTCAAAAGCTGAAATATGAAGTTCTTCATGAACAAAATAGCACTTTTACCCAACCCAAACATCATTAACATCTGGGCTATTGTAATCAGTCACTCATCAGACGAGAATATTACTTGCCTGGGGCTCCTTTCACGAAGCAACCTTGACTAAGGTTAACCTTAACTCCCATTCTTTAACATTGCACTAAGGGTACGTTAGTGACTTACGATCACCTTAGTGCTTTGTGAAAGGAGGCCCTGGACTGCAGTGAATAGCAACTGGCTGGGACATACAATGTTCAAAATAGTTTATTACATTTGTTAGTTCATTACGAGCGTGCTCATTATAAACATAGTTTCTGTATATCAACTCAAAGGGATGAAGATTAAGAATTATATTGATTAATAACAAAATTAGTTCTTTTTACTACTTGGATATACAAAACAGTTCATTATACCTGTTAGTTTGTTATAAACGTTTTCTGTATATCAACTCAAAGGTATTAAAAATAATGAAATTAGCTCTTCTTTTTATGTATATATTATAAGGAATGCTATCAAAACCTGAAGTTAATCAGTTTCATATACGCACAGCTTAACCATTGTTTGGTTATGGCTCAGTTTTGTACTGCTCACCATGGTAATGTTATCAAATGTGAACATTTCTGAGGCATTCAATTATTTTTTGAACATTTATATTCTTGTAATGATGGTTTTGCATTATTGAAATCTGCTGATACATCGATATTGTGATGAACAATCTTACTTTGCAGTTGTTGTTAGTTTCTCAAACAGCGTGTCACAATCATTTGTATTATTACATTCCGGTCACAAATTTAGGAATGCTCTCAGTTTGAGTAATGAACACGAAATGAGAGTTTTGCATGGTCTTGAACTGTATGATGATGCTTAATATTGAAAGAAATCTCAAACAGATTGTAATCAGATTCTCTGCAGGTGCCCTGTTTTAGGAAGCATCTTTGACCAACAACTTGACCATTCTGTAAACAATCTGTGTAAGTGTTGCCTGCTAAGAACGTAGATTTCCATGACATCCCCAGTAGTGTAGAAGGGGTATAGTGTTACCTATTTATTAACTGTTATAATTGTTTTTAGTTTTGTCAATATTTGAACAAAGTTTGTCCACAATTGTTCAATCTCTGAAACACGCTTGTTGTCTGTAGTTTAAATCACCTGCTTTTTGTCCATTTAGTCCGCGCCCACACAGCATTTCCCTGTGAACATGATACGTGGACAGTGACTATAGCTCTGGTAATGAAGGGACTCTGGACTCTGCACGCTGCAGAACCTAAGGGACACAACTCTGCAAGCCTAAGAAGTCCTCTCAACTCTAGTTATGTTCATTAATGAAGGCAGTACTAACATATTTTCCAGCTTAGTCAAGCTTTCCCAAAGGTTATGTGACTATGGTTTTGTTTCAGGAATTAGTAGCACTTTATTGTTTGTCTTTAAATTAGAAGTGATACACGTAAGGAAGAGGGTTTTATGGATGTTAAATTCTTTACTGTGAGGAGTTATATGTTTCTGAGTATATATATTCTTACTCCTTCATCAGGTGAATAACATTTCTAAGTATATCCTTACTCCTTCATCAGGTGAATAACATTTCTAAGTATATCCTTACTCCTTCATCAGGTGAATAACGTTTCTAAGTTATCCATTTCTAAGTATATCCTTACTCCTTCATCAGGTGAATAACATTTCTAAGTATATCCTTACTCCTTCATCAGGTGAATAACGTTTCTAAGTATATCCTTACTCCTTCATCAGGTGAATAACGTTTCTAAGTATATCCTTACTCCTTCATCAGGTGAATAACGTTTCTAAGTATATCCTTACTCCTTCATCAGGTGAATAACGTTTCTAAGTATATCCTTACTCCTTCATCAGGTGAATAACGTTTCTAAGTATATCCTTACTCCTTCATCAGTGAATAACATTTCTAAGTATATCCTTACTCCCATCAGGTGAATAACATTTCTAAGTATATCCTTACTCCTTCATCAGGTGAATAACGTTTCTAAGTATATCCTTACTCCTTCATCAGGTGAATAACATTTCTAAGTATATCCTTACTCCTTCATCAGGTGAATAACATTTCTAAGTATATCCTTACTCCTTCATCAGGTGAATAACGTTTCTAAGTATATCCTTACTCCTTCATCAGGTGAATAACGTTTCTAAGTATATCCTTACTCCTTCATCAGGTGAATAACATTTCTAAGTCATATCCTTATCCTTACTCCTTCATCAGGTGAATAACATTTCTAAGTATATACTCCTTCATCCTAAGTATTACTCCTTCATCAGGTGAATAACATTTCTAAGTATATCCTTACTCCTTCATCAGGTGAATAACATTTCTAAGTATATCAGGTGAATAACGTTTCTAAGTATATCCTTACTCCTTCATCAGGTGAATAACATTTCTAAGTATATCCTTACTCCTTCATCAGGTGAATAACATTTCTAAGAATATCCTTACTCCTTCATCAGGTGAATAACATTTCTAAGTATATCCTTACTCCTTCATCAGGTGAATAATGTTTCTAAGTATATCCTTACTCCTTCATCAGGTGAATAACATTTCTAAGTATATCCTTACTCCTTCATCAGGTGAATAACTTTTCCTTACTCCTTCATCAGGTGAATAACTTTTCTAAGTATATCCTTACTCCTTCATCAGGTGAATAACTTTTCCTTACTCCTTCATCAGGTGAATAACTTTTCTAAGTATATCCTTACTCCTCCTTCATCAGGTGAATAACGTTTCTAAGTATATCCTTACTCCTTCATCAGGTGAATAACATTTCTAAGAATATCCTTACTCCTTCATCAGGTGAATAACATTTCTAAGAATATCCTTACTCCTTCATCAGGTGAATAACATTTCTAAGAATATCCTTTCTCCTTCATCAGGTGAATAACATTTCTAAGAATATCCTTACTCCTCATCATTGACCTGATGAAGGAGTAAGGAGTAATAACTTTTCAATTTGTGGCTAAGTATGCTTAATCACAATGGAATGTCAACATCCCAATTGTATATACACCACAATGTTTGGTAAGGATATTTTTCTATCTTGGATAGTTATACAGAGTGACATTTTCTGATTATACTTTTGAAAAGTTAAGTAGTATATTTTCGGAAGATCTGAGAATGCTGTAAAAATCCACCATTTGTTACTAATCTC